CTGACAGGCTCTTTATCATCTTCTGTTGAGATTATACATTTGATTATAAATTTGTCATGGCACAAAATGAGAAAACTGGGAAGTCTCCTACATGGAAAACCATAAGAGCAAATAGCTGCGTGCAAGGATCAGTTTCTACCACTTCGGAAACACTGAACACATACCGCAGTAAAAATTAAGAACAATAAAGAGATGATACATTTTTGTTAAGCAATGGGAAACTTTGTTCTTAGCATCTTAAAAATATAAAGCTGTCTTTCCTCGAATACGTACTGTATATTCGCCTTTCCTATTATAAAGCTGTTATATAAAAATTTTAAATGGACTGGCTCTCTTAGCCCCTGTCACAAATGCCCAGTTATATGAACGTTCCCATTTACTATGGATCTTTTACAGTAGAAAAAAAATGGATTTTTAAAAAACATTATTCCTACACTGCTTCTATTCTAGCCTTCCGATCAAACAAGAACAAGAATTGCCTCTGAACCAATGATGAAAAACTTGGTTGATTTTTTGTAGGTTTTTTTTTTTTTACTAAGAAGCAACATAGGTAATCCTTGACTTATAATATTTTGTTTAATGACCGTTCAAAGTCACAACGGCACTGAAAAAAGTGACTTATGACCGGTTTTCATACTTACGTCCATTGCCGCATCCCCATGGTTATGTGATCAAAATTAGGATGTTTGGCAACTGGTTCATATTTATGACAATTGCAGTGTCCCAAAATCATATGATCACTTTTTTGTGACCTTTTGACAAGCAACGTCAATGGGAAAGCCAGTTTCACTTGACAACTGTATATTACTAACTTAACAACTGCAGTGATTCACTTAACTGTGGCAAGAAAAGTCGTAGAAGTCGTAAAATGTGACAAAACTCACTGTGATTATAAGTCAAGGACTATTTGTAAAGCAAGAAAGGCAATATGATAGCTACTTAACAATTCAGATATACTGTCGGACCAAATAACTATCTGCAGAGGTAACCTTGCTTGCATGTGAAAATACACTGAATGTTTTATTTTGTATTAGATTTTTATTAATTACACTGGATTTCTGATCAATGGCTGAAATAAAGGTTTGATGGATGGATGGATCCTTCCTGTAGCTTCCATTGTTTAATAGATTTTCTGACACATTTTGCACTGTATGTTCTATGGAAAGCCAATTTGTTGTTATATTTAGCTGAATGTAGCTTTAATATTCATAATTCTACTTATGATTAGTATATGAATTATGCATTCCCTATTTGTTAGGTTCATCAGTTTTGTCTGCATTTTCTGTTGGCTTTTACATGGTATATTGAAAGCAAGGTATTAAAACCTAAAGGATAAGTAACAACTTTTCTTTTTGCAGCCTTCTAAATCTCCTCTGGTCATGATTACTGAAAGTTTATTTTCTTTTGAGGCTGGGTATTGATGAAAACTGAAATGCCTTAAAATAAATTTATCATAGTTAAAAAAGCAACAATAACAAATATCTTTACAATATTTGTAGTTTCCACCTTTCCTACATGTCTGATATAGCTCCATCTATTTTGCAGTCCTTAGCCTGCTCAGAAGTATTAAATTTGACTGTGAAAATCTTCAGCAATTCTGTGGCTTCTGAATATCTTTGCAACAACGAGGGCTAGAATTTTCTCAGTTAACAAGGAGACTCAAGAGGCTCGGCTACGTTTTGTTGCTTTATTAGTTTATTCTTTTAACTTTAAGCAGCTGCAAATCCTGCCTGTTTAAAAAACAAACAAACAAACCCTCAATCGAACCCTCAGTAGAAAAGCTATTATAATATGGATAAAGTAAAGAAACAAACCGCATTCCTATCCGTGTCCAAAACCCTTGCCGCATATTTGATGTAATATGTAATAAGTCTCAGGAGATAGATGGGTTTTAATATAGATTTTCACATACCTTTTTTAAATGCTTGGCAAACTTTCCCATATATGTGTGCTGATCCAGACCTTGGTAATCCCACAACATTGACAGTGCATTTGAGAGCTGGGCTGATTTATTTCTGGCTCAGTTGCAGTATATTTGAAGGCAGAATAAAGGTAGAGTTAGTTCTCCTAAGGCTGAGCAGGCCTGTTTCTCCATTGGCTATAGCAGTGGTTCTCAACCTGTGGGTCGGGACCCCATTTGGGGTCGATCGACCATTTCACGGGGGTCGCCAAGCAAGGCTGTCCGCCATTTTTTTTGTCCGCCATTTTTTCCCTCTTTTCCGGCGGGTGCCTTACCTCCCTTGGGCTGGGCCAGCTGGTGGTCGGCCTGCTCCGTCTCTGCCGCTTGCCAGCTACGCCTCGGCCGGCACAGGGGGCGGAACCACGCATGTGCGGCTCTCCCGGGCAGGGAAAGTCCTCGACTTACGACCGGTTTAGTCCTCGACGTACGACCGGTTTAGTCCTCGACTTACGACCGGTTTAGTCCTCAACTTACGACCGGTTGGGGTCGCGGCATTAAAAAGGTTGAGAACCACTGGGCTATAGTTTCTAATTCAGCATGTCCTTTCGGTCCTTTTGGACTTGAGATCATTCAAGTGGAAGGGTGGCCTGAGATCTTTTCAGCTCTCCCTCACAGGAATCACTAGGATTTTATTTATGGCTTAGCAAGATAAATTAACACAATATGAAGTAATTATGTGGATGGGATGGGAAGCTACAATTTATTTTAGCTCCCTTTTGTGTGGGGTTCAGGATAAGGGATATTTGTTAACATGGATGAGTTTGGGTGGGGTAATGCTTCTTCGATTGCAGTGCATAGCATATAGAAGATTATGGCAGATAGTCTTCAAACTTTGAGGAATTGTGAGTAGAAACTGAATATATATATATATTCATATGTATTTATTAAGGAAAATGAGTCTACATGAATTTACATCTACATACATACACAGCTGCCATTAGGTAAAGGATAAACCCTTCCCCATGACTTCAGTTTATTTTGCCCCATGATAATTACTGAACAACATGTTTCAATTTGCCTCTATGTCTGTATTATTTTGCCATGGATTCTGGAAGTGGGCCTGTGTTATGTAAATATCTGATGGGATTTGATGTTCACATATAATAAATGAAGCAAGAAACTGAATACAATAATGCAACCATAGTATCAGAAATAAAATGGTAAAATATATACTTCCAAATGAATCTTTCAGTATGATCAATGAAATAAATAATGAGATAATACAGAAATATTTTTATTAAATATCAGGTAATATAAATTTTCAAATTCCCATTTTCATTGGCAGCACCAAAAAGAAAAAAGTTAAAAAAAAAAAATCTGAGGACAGCACCAATAATTCTGGACAAAGAAAAGCACCAATAATTCTGGACAGAGAAAAGCACCAATAATTTTGGACAAAGAAAAGTTGATTTTGTCTATGTTATTGTAAGTAGTCCATATTTGTATTTAAAAAAAAGTCTGTCAATTGTATTCAGTTTTTGTTAATTTCTGTAATGTGGTAGGAAATTAAAGACACATTTTATTCAATTCTACCAGCCATTGCTTGGTGTCTAAGATTGTGCAAATGGATTGCACATGTGCATTTGAATATTTCTTTACAGTCATAAGGACCAGAAACTTGCTTTGTTTAGTGAAAACTAAAGTCCTCAGTGCTGCAACTAGTATTTTGTGTGTTCATGTTTTCAACTGCAAGACACCTGTTTTCTAATAGCAATAGTACTTATATAGCGCTTCCTAGTGCTTTACAGCCCTCTCTAAGCGGTTTACAGAGTCAGTGTATTGCTCCCAACAATCTGGGTCCTCATTTTACCGACCTCGGAAGGATGGAAGGCTGAGTCAACCTTGAGTCGGTGAGAATCGAACCGCCAAACTGCAGTCAGTCAGCAGTCAGCAGAAGTATTGATGTTCTGTGTAGTTCTAAATTTGAAAATAATTTCCGGTTATGTTGAACAGCCATTATAACCAGAAAAGAAGAGGGAAAAAATCATGGGTATATTATGCTATTCTGGTGCTGATATCTAACATGACAGTACCTTGTGTTTAAATACAAACAACATACTTTTGGTATAATCAGCCATTTCTGTAACACTGATAGCAGAACACTCTTTTTATATTTAAGAGTAAAGCATAAAATAAGGACATTTAAATATGATTGCTCATTTGACAGTGACAAATATAAAAGATCTCATTATCCAATACACTTTGAAATTGTGAAAGGAATCTTTAGGCTTTGCTTTTCTCTGCATCTTGCATATTCAACAAAAGCTTTAGATCTAAGTAAATCAATTAATTTCTATTTTTTGGCAGTAGTGTCTTAAGCATGTTTCAATTGCTGCAATCTGTTACAGTATTTATTCTTATAGGATCTTTGTAAGCAGGAAACTGCAGGTGAACCATGCAATCTAGCTCTAGTATCTCCTTCACATGATTTCAATAAAGTGGCTGGGAGTGAGCAAGGCCACTAATGTTGGGGACTTCCTTGAGAGTCTCACTAATATGCTCTTCTACAAGAGTGTACTTTAATAGCTCTTGCTAATTTCAACAGGACTCATGTCAGAAAAACCTGCTGGTGGAGAGTGCCCAAAGTATTTATTTAGCAGGAGAAACTGAGGTATAAAGAAAACTCAACCCTCAGTCTCAACCAACAGCTCTGTTGTTGTTCATAGATGTTCTCCTCTCATCAGCTCCTCAAAAAGAAATTGGTTATATTTTCAAGGATCAACCTCCTTCCTATAATATTCAGACTTGGGGAAAACTAAACCATGCCCTGTTTACATTAAAAGCTCCTTCTTTTGGTTTATTTTAAGAACTAGGTATTCACTCAGGTCACATTAGAATACTGAAAAGGATTTGGGATGTGACCTCCTCCATGCACTTGATTCTTGGCTTTTTTTTTTTTTAACCTGGAGTCATATTGTTTGCCAAGAAGGATGCTTCAGAGTGTTCCAGTCGCTCTTGAGATTCTCTTGTTTATCAGCTTAGATGCCAGTTAAGAGGTGAAGCTCATTCAGAGCTATGCCTTATATTTTATAGGCAATGCTCACAAATTAGAATTGATACAAGACCTGCAGCATTGCTTCCCATAGAAATTATGACTACAAACGCCATGTTGGGGAACCAAGTGGCACCAGTTAAAATAATCCTTACAGAAGACATCTAGAAATATGAAAAGAAAAGACATAGTGAATGTAGTCAAATACATTTCATGAAGAGTTGGGTTTCCACGTGTACTGAATAAATGTAAATGCAGCATTTAAAATAAAAAAAGACTTGATTTACTTGAAGCTTGGGAGATAGGACATTTTAATTCAATGACTGGTGTTTTTATTTAAATGGGTTATGAAAGTAAGAAAACAAGGATAAACCTGAGGTGTATATATGTCTATATATACTGAGATAACATCACAGGAATATAATAAAAATGTTGCTAAAGAATTGTTGAAAAACACAAAAATGTACACTTAGACAATCATATAAGATCACTCAGCTTCAAGACTTGTGATGTAGTTGAAGGTGAGTCATATGCAACTCATGACATATTGGATATATTTGGGTATTTATGTATCTATATATGCATGTGAATATTTATATATGTACTATATAAGTCTCTTTGTGTGTACATGTGTGCATGTATACCCCAATTCTCATGATATATGTCCATCTATTGATGGGAAAGATTAAAGTGCTCACATAATGAATTTCTCTCTTTCTCCCTGAATATGCCTGAGATGCTGTATACAGTGTTCTGTGCAGAAATTCATCCATTTGACAAGTGAAGTAATTTCAAACTGATCTTCACGGTTTGAAATATATTCTTAAAGAAAAGTAAACCTCAATTTTTTTTCCTATTGGGGAACTCCTCTCAAAATTGTCTCCATCTTTCTTCAAATAATAGTTGAAAGATGCTCTCTAATTCCCTCTGAATTGTTTTAAACTAAATAGTTTAAACAATTCCTCTAATTCCCTCTGAATTGTTTTAAATGAAATAGTTCTGCAACTAATTACGTACACAACTTACTTTTACTTACTAACTTACTATCTAAGATTCTTTCTGGTTTTGGATTTGCCCTTGAAGGTTATGATTGTACTTGAAGTCTCTAAATGCTCTTTGCCAAGCAGGCCTGGTGGAATACTCATAATATCTTTAATATATTGGTTCAACAAGATCTCTAGAACCAAATTTTAAAGCAGCCCTCCTCAATCTGATCCTTGGGATTGCACATCTCATGATTTCCAAGTAGAATTCAAAAGATAGTGTTGAGGAAGGGCTCCTTTAAAGACAAAAATGGAGGTCCAGAAGAGAAAACAGTTTGACTATACCTTTTGCTTCTGGAAGAGGACAGAAGTTTATATTACAGGCTTGTGATGCAATGGGCTTCTGATACAGGAGGCATCCGGTGGCTGATCTCCCATTTGCTAGGCACTGAACGGACCTCACTTGCATGCCACCTCCACAGGTCACTGTGCACTGCAGGGTAAAACAGAGTTAATCAATATGGCTAACTACAACTGGACAGAAAGTCTTATGAAGATCTCCATATGGAAGTAGAACAACCAGTACATGATTATAAATCTCTGCTGAGTTCATCAATCCATTTTCAGCAAGAGGTTCTGGACAATATTCAACTATTTATTCCCACAATAGCACCTTTTCATAAAAACTAAATCTTATGCATGTTATCACATAGATAAGCAGAAAGGTCCTGTGTACACAATTACTGATTGGAGTCCCAGCTGTCTTCAAAAATACCTGCATGGTTCAATTTCAGATATTAATATTTACAAACCTATTAATATGTCACTTAATAAAATAAATATTGTACAACTAATCACATGGGTTTTAATGAATTAAATTTCTACAAATGAGCACACGACTAAAAGAATCCTTCTTAGGAAAAAGAAATATTAACTGAAGCAAATGCATCCATCTGTCTTAGAAAAAGGATTCTTGTTGTGTTAAAATAAAAAGATGCCTTTTCCGGAATCTCTTAACTTGTCGATCATCGACATCTGTTGCCTTGGTGTGTTTGCATGGGAATACATGACTAAACCTAGAGCCTCCTTAAGTTAAATTGATTTTTCTTGATATTACTTAGTTAAGATAGTGCTACTTTTCTTTCATATGCTTACCTATCATGCCCTTCCAAGCAAATATATCATGAAATCTCAAAATGTACACTGCAGGGATCCTAAAAAAATGGAACCTCCTTTCTCCTGTAAAATCTGAGTGGTTGGAACTGAGAGAAACATGATTTTCCTGTATCCATTCTCCACTTAGACACAATAACCACAAGCACAGTGCTCTGCTGCACACAGGTGCTTCCTTTTCTTCTAGTACTACTGTACCAAGCCAGCTATTCCATATCTCCCTTCTGCTGTATCACAGTATTATTTTACAACACACACACACACACACACAAATGTGGGACACAATGGGAAAAAGGGAAGGATACAACATACCTAAGCGTTTTGTGAAATTCTGCAAATGAAACAGGAGAATTGCACAATAAATGTCTAGTCTAAAATTACCATGTTTAAGGGAATAAAGGCGATGAGGAGAATGCATTGGCAGAAAGTGAAAGAGGGAAATCAGAAGTGCTATTAAATTATATTAGTCAAGGCACAGATGTTGCCCTTCCCAAACAGATACAAGCTGCCTTAAGTATTTCCACACTAGGACTTTCAATCCTGCTTAATTGCATTATTTTTCTTTAATTAATGGAAATGGAGAATCTGCAGTGTTTAATATATTATTAAGGTAACCTGCATGCTCTTCTCTATGGCAGGTTTATTTTGGAATGCTTGCTTGTGTAAATTTACTCCTGGGCAATAAAAGTGTAATATTTGCTGCCTCAGACAGATTTACAGTTTGTTATTGATCCAGTCTAGAGGACAGTGATTTCTATGTGAACAGTGTCAAGGAGAATTATTTAGATCAGATCAGCTATTATTTCACAGAGAAGGGGAATTATTTAATTTTAACTTTGCTCATTTGATAGCAACAACTTTCAAGAAAACATGCAGTAAAAGCATGGAGTGCAACGATTCTTATGAGTCCTGAATAACAAGATAAAAGTCTGCAGCTTTGAGCCAAACCTGTCATTGTATGAGGTGAAGCTGAATCTCATATCAGCCCAAAGTCAAGAGGTTGGGGGATGATTCAGTTCTTTAGAAAGCCATCTGTTGAGTTGATAAACAGCCAACTACATTTTTTTTTAGAAAAATAAATCTAAGATTGGGAAGTGAAAGAAAGGTGAAAGATAGAATCAAGAGACTGGCAGATCTTATTTTTTAATAGTGAAAAATTGTTCAGCGGAGGCTGTCTAATTAGAATTCTTCAAATGAATATATTGCTAAAAATATCTCCTCATACTTTATAATGAATTGTCCTACTGCTGGAAGATTTAGGAACCATGTCTAAATCCAAAGGCTCATCATAGATAACCCACCCTCCCAGCAATTCTGCTCCATCCTTTTAGTGATCCTAAGCAAGATGAGTTGAGGAACAAACAAAATTTTCCCTCTACATCCGGTGGCCTTCGAACAGAAGAGTCCAGAGACTGTTGGTATCGTCCCTGTAATGGGCTGAGAAACCTGTCTCCTCTCTGTAATTCATCAATATTGCCCACTTAACAGTAAGTAAGGAAATGGGAAGATTCTTTCATCCTGAAGTCTATCTTCCTTCACATAATGTCTCCTCAATTTGTTTGCTCAAAATGTTAGAAGGTTTTATAGTACTGGAGTAACTACAACTGCAAATAGCATATAATTCTGGTCAAAGTTAACAATGTTGCAAGCATAAATACAATTTAATAATAAAACAAAACTTACAGATAATCCTCAATTTATGACTGCTCAATGATGATTCATATTTACAGTGGCCTCAGAAAAAGTGTCTTGTGATTTGTATTTGCACTTATGACCATCATACCAACCCTGTGGTAATATGATTGCAGTTCAAGCGCTTGGCGATTACCTTCATATAATAAATGGTTGCAGAGTCCTGTGTTCATGCACTGGCAATCCTTTTAAAAAAGTCATTGGAAGGTGGATTTGTTTTATGACCACATGATTTACTTAATGACCATATGAGTGCTTAACAACTGAGGTGACTTGCTTTGGGACTGCCATAAAAATGGTTATAAAATCAAGTTTGGTCGTGTGATGACTTATGACTGCACCGAATTCTGATCCTAGTTATGGTTGTAAGTCAAGAACTACTTATACAGTATGACCAAAACAGAATTTAAAGGAATCTGGTTTTGTTGCACCTGCTGCCTTGATACTGGACAGACTTTATCCTCCAGAATTGCCTATTGTTCCTACAAATGAGATCCTATACTTTGATTACCTCCCAAAAAGAAAATATTAAAATAATTTATGGTCTCAGACTGAGCTTTAATTGACGTGTTTATCTTGATACAATCCTAATTAAATTAGATTATTTTCCAAAGTGCAAATGAATCCCACACTGAATCTTGGAATCAGAACTTATTCCTAAAAGCTAAACTAAGAATAACAAAACAAATATAACTAACTAACCAGAGGGAAGGACAAGAAACAATGGTTGGAAACTGATCAAAGAGAGAAGCAACCTGGAATTAAGGAGAAACTTCCTGACAGAACAATCAACCAGTGGAATAGCTTACCCCCAAAAATCGTGGGTGCTCTATCACTGGAAAATTTCAACAAGAGACTGGACAATCACCTGTCTGAGATGGTATAGGTTCTCCTGCTTGAGCAGGGGCTGGACTAGAAGACCTCCAAGGTCCCTTCCAGCTCTATTCTATTCTGATGCTGAACTTCCATGCATTGTTCTTAATTTTTCTTTTAAAGAATACTGCAATAAGACTCAAAAATCTTTAATACTTGGCAGATATCTTACAGATATGACTAGGTCCTTTGTTGCAAGGAAGATTGAAGCCCAATGAAACACTTGGTCTACTGAGGAAAAACCAAGGTTGCAGTCTCCATCTTAATATCTAACAGTAGTTTAAGTGTAATTTGAGCATCCCATAGTAGTTTGGACATTTGAATAGCCTCCCTATGAATGAAATGACTCTTTGCTTGATGCTTGGCAAAGAGTCATTTGAAGCCCAACAGTTTAAATAGCTGCCAATTCTAGCTTGAAAGTAAGTAAATCTAAATCTTACTTTAACTTACAAAGAGAAATGCTATCATAATGTTGGAAAAAGTGATTTGGGCCATTAGATATAGAAACTATTCAAAGAAAAAATATTCACTAATTCCATAAATGAAATTCATGCAAAATAAATTAGTTGAGCTGCCAAGAGGAAATGTTTCACTTAAAGGTACAGTATTCTCCAGAAGCCTTAATAGCATTTTGCCTACACTGGATAGAAAAGGGTTGCTGTTGCATCTTATTTTATTCCATATCAAAAAAAAAAAAAAAAAAAGGAAAAAAAGGGAATGAAAGTGATGACAGTTCTGGGGAAAAGAGACATTTATTAAATCTTGATCTGCATTCCAGCATTGAAAATGTGTAACTGAACGGATTAGAATGAGCTCCCTCCAGTGGATTACAGCCATCTCTAGGCTATGCCTCCGTCTCAGTGTTAGCCTACCCCTCAGTCATCCTGAAGCTAAATCAGAGGGATCCAACTAGAAAAAACAATGCAGTCTTCTACACAAACATTGGGATTCACAGGCTGGTGACCAGCACAGCTCCAACTGGTTTGTGGAAGGGCTGCTCCTTCCATCTGTCCACAGGGCCATTTCTTTTTTTGGCTACTAGAAATACCAAAATCTCCCCAGAAAACTATCCCACTCCTACTTTTAGGTGCAACTAGCAACATTAACCTGCTGGAATATCAATTGCTATTTCTACCAATAACTTTTTTGCTTAGTTTTTCTCCTCTATGCAAAGAATAAAATCTAGGGAGACAGAGATCCTTCATCCTTCTTGTTCTCCCCCCCCCCCAGCAACCTCCAACAGCTGCAGCTCCACTTGAATCTAGAGTGAATCCACTTTGGGCAAATTTTAGGATTTTTCTTTCAGCCTGCTTCTTTTCTACACATATTCTGTATAGTTCAGTGAGAAAGAAGATGCTACATGTAACACTGTTAATGATATCTTTACAATATTATTGTTATTGTTGTATGTTATATGTCCAATGTTTTATGTTTTAAATGACTGTGGCAAAAGAAAGCAAAGATAGTACCACTAGTGATAGATGTCTTCATTGCAATTCCAAAACATCTGGAGCACTGCTTGAATACCATCCGTGTTGACAAAATCACTAATCAATTGCAAAAGGCAGCTTTACTCTCTTACCTGTGAAGATACCTTTAACAAGATCAAACAGCATCTGTCTATCCCAAGTCCTTGGGAAGGACTCGATAAGTAGATAAAAATGCCAAATCTAATCTAAACGTCAGTAAATACTGTGTGACAAACTATAATAATAATGTACTTAATTCATATCTTTATATATGGTTTTTGTAATCCAATGCATTTCCAATTGTCAAGGCAGTGAAAGCAGTATTTTATAACAATTCTTCTATTCAGGGGTCAATTATCAACCAGTCAGAGTTGCAATCCAGACTGTTTAGCCACCTTGAAGCCTTCGAGTAAATTCCCCCCTAGAAGATTAGCCAAGAGTCAAATTTTTCTTTTTCTGCAAACAATTCTTGAGCTTAGACAACAGTTAAAGTTTTCTTTTTCTGCAGATACTTTTTAAGCTTATAGATGGCCCAGTATGTTTTCTTTCTTTGTTCCCAGCTGTTTTCTATTTGGCTGAAGGTTATTAAAGTTTAAGGGAACAGATTATTTTTTGTTTCTGGGCATCTTGCCAATTTCTGAGTCAGAGTTGCTGTTGTTCTATGCTCTAATTCTCCACTAGATGTCAGTAATTATTTATTTTCCAACTTTTTCAAACAAAAAATATTTATTATTATTATTATTATTATTATTAATAATAATAATAATAGTTTCATCAAAACTCTTTAGGGTGTAAAATATTAATAGTTTTCTTAATTTTCAGATTTATCCAGACTATAGTGTTATTAATTTCACTTCAGTATATTTCTTTCCCCCTTAGAAGTTAATTCGCTACTTCCGTTTATGGAGGGGTAGGGATTTAGTCACCTCCCTCACTTTTGGAGGATTTCTTTTCCAGGGAATCAGTTACAAAATAGAAGAGAGAAGATTGATACTCTCACCCAGTTTCAAGCACGCTGTTCACCATTGTTCTGGTTTGTGCTTTTGGACTTTGGCTGCTAGTAGCTTGGGCTAGACACTGATGTGCAGCTAGCCTTTCTGCTGTTAGGTTGAAGGGCTTCCCCCAGATCGAGCGGATCAACTGCCGTCATTCCATGATCACCAGGGTGCCCCTCCTTTGTCGCCCATTTAGGGTCCCCTGGTAGGGCAAAATCAGCCACGGGGTGCGGAGCCCCACGATCCCTTGGCCACGTCGCTATAAGATGTGGTTGTTTGGATTTTGAGATTGGCTGGTTTGATAAGGCTAATTATAGAGACTATGGTACTGTGAAAGACTATTTGGAGGGTGGGAGACAAAATGGATATTGCATATTTATCTAAAGGGGATAGGAAACCACACCTAATATTCCCTTCTGAAAGACCTAGCCTGGAACATCAGAGATCTTCAGGAGTAATACTCCAAGACAAGACTTTTTAGGAGGAAATGTACGCAATACTATGACAGATTCAAATGACAATAGTTTCAAACCACAATGAGATCAAAAACAACTTTGATGACATAAATGAGCACATCTTCAATCTAAATTTACAATTAAAAAACTCTCAGAAAACAATGATAAAGAATGAATAAACAAATCAGATAACAGAACACAGACTAGAAGAAAGTGACTTAAATAGAATAAAATAGAGTTGGAAGGGACCTTGGAGATCTTCTAGTCCAGCCCCCCGCTTAAGCAGGAGAATCTTCTTAAAAATCTCCAGGGATGGAGCGCCCACAATTTCTGGAGGCAAGCTATTCCACTGGTTAATTATCCTCTCTGTCAGGAAGTTAATAGGGAAATTACAAATGAAAAGAACTACAACTTAATACAAGCAGAAAAAAATCTACAAGATTTTACCACAACAATGAAAATGGAAAAGATATTTTATCAGTCAGGACTTCAAAATCAATTTGAGGATAAGAAAGAAGTTTTAACAAAATGGATTATAGAACTGCCAGGAAAACCATCAGAGTCTGGGATACAAAAAGCATATATCCTACTCAACTTGTCTTTCTCACTCCCAACAACACTTACAAAAATAGAGGAACTTCCTGGCAAGCGGAATATACTAACTTGGAAAGCTATTTGGCAAAAGAAGAAGGCTAGAGTTAGACTTAAGAGATCTAATTCGACTTACCAGATGGAGTACTACATGATTAAACATTTGTTTGAATATGGTTAAAAGAATAGATAATTTTGGATTATCTATAGGGGCCCTATAGTAACAGGGATAAGAGATATAAGTAGTATAGTATTTTTTACAATATATAAAATGTAAAAATATTGGGATGATGTATGTGAATGGAAAGTTTGGACATTTAAAGGTAATTAACTTTGAGGGAATTATGACCAAGAAGAATAATTTAAATACCAAGGGGAAATTAAGCTTAAATAAGAATTTTGAAAACAGGACATATAGTGACTTAACAAGATGACTTTTACAAATATAGTTGAAATATAAGCTGTTCAGAAAAGATGTTACATCTGGATGTTATAGGATATATAAGTAGTATAGTATTTTTATAATATATAAAATATGAAAATATTGGGATGGTGTATGTAAATGAAAAGTATTGGGATGATGTATGTGAATGGAAAGTTTGGCTATTTAGCTAATCAATTTTGAGAAAACTATGGCTGATAAGAATGGTTTGAATACTGAGGAGAAATTAAGTTTAAATAAGAATTTTGAAAACAGGACACACAGTGACCTAACAAGATGACTTTTACAAATACAATTGAAACATAAATTAACTAGAAAAGATGTTATATATGGATGTCATTGTTAATTATACATACACAAAAAATGCTTATATCCAACCTTGTATACATTGAAAATATTAATAATTATATTTATCTTGACAAAGGAGAATACCATTAGAAGAAGGGAAGATTAAGGAAACATACTATTAATTAATATATTGATCATGGAATTATAGAAATTAATAATTATTGATTGTTTTTTCAAATATATGAACCCAGACAACACACTATTTACTAAGCACCAAAGATTGTTATTGTAAAAAATTAATAAAATATATTAAAAATGTACTTAATTCGAAAAAGCAACAGTTTTCCTCAAATGTTACAACAGCACAGAATTGCCTAGCATGAACCAACCAAGCTAAAGGCCTAAATGTTCTCTCTTCAACTATTTTTCTGCAGTGAATTTGGGACATACACTAAAATCCAAGTTCCTGTGCAAGCAAATAGCAAGTACTTAATTCAGTTAGACAGACTGTGTTTATTTTATTTGAAATTCTGTTTATATGACTGATACTTTACTGTATTTTATTATATGCCCCCTTTCTCAGTAACTCTTTAATACAGGTTGATTTGGCTGAAAAGGAAATTCTGAATGAAAAATTTCCCCATCAATTTTCCCACATGCAAAACTATAGCACAAGATTTGTTCACTTTCTTACTTTTTCTAGAATTGGGTTGAAAGGAGAAATCCTTGGTAGAAGGGCTAACAAGTCTGCAGCCAGCCAGTCAAGAATATATCCAAAGATTTAACTTGATGGGCAGCTTCCTGTAAATACTTTAGAAGAATTCTTGCCAGTGAAATTTCTAGTCAACCTTTCCTGGTCTTTTCTCTACTCACTCTGGTAACACATTGAATCATCAGCTTGCCACCTGGAGCCCTGAAGCAGGGTTTTCCACCGGTAGTCTCCAGGCTGAAAAAGTCACCCATTTATGTACCGTATTATCCTGACCAGGGATGGCAAAAGTTGTAATCCAATTCAGTTGGAAGATAATAGTTAAAAAACAAAATCTCCTGCTTCCCAAATGATGAATCAAATCTCTTCTGCATTAGTCATATTTACAGCCTTTCCACAATTCATGAAATAGAACCATTGGCAATGATGTATAATTTCCAAATTCAGAACCAGGGCATCTAGATAATAATAATAGAGACTTAATATATGTTAATATATGAAGTCTCTATTATTATTATCTAGATGCCCTGGTTCTGAATTTAGAAATTATACATCATTGCCAATGGTTCTATTTCATGAATTGTGGACGCTGTGGACTTCTGCTTACTTCTGCGCATGCTCCATTTCGTTTGAACTACTATATATGTTTATGAAGGAACTGAAACATTCCAGAGCCCAAAGCGCTCATTTCTGAACCACAGAGCCACCTCTCTCTCCGTAGAATGTATTTGTGCTACAGGTATGAATCTAGGACACTGGAACCATTGAAAGAAAGAAAAAGGTAACCGAGACTTGGTATGAAGCTTAAAATATTTCAGAGTTACCTATGTCCTTTACCTGAGACCAAGAGGAGGAAAACCAGCTGCCTTGATTTATTAATAAATATGCAGAGTGCTTATAACAAGGATGTAGGATGCAAACTTTTTCCATCTCTATGTTTGGTTTTTGAAGATAGGAACATTTTTTAGGGGCAAGTTCTCGATACTTTCCAGAAAGATATTTTTCAGCACAGTTCAGGGTTCTCCTCTGTATTCCCTTTCCACATGTCACAGAGCACTGAAAAGAGAATTTAATAACAACAATTAGTGCAAAGCAAGGTAGTCCCTTGTTTTATTCCATGTGAAATATTTTACGTTTTTCAAGTCAATATAAACTTGACTTTATTTTGACTTTGATCAGACATGTGGACAACCCCAGAATGATTCCAAACTCAATAGATCACATTTCAACTCACTTATTAGGAGTTATGTGTTCCAAACAACACATCCTCTTCTAATATACTCCATTCCAGCTGTTCATCCATTTTTTTTTTCAATTCTACAGCCATTATATGTGGGTCAAAATAACTGGCATTTTTTCTTTCTCATGTGAGTCTCAAGAGAACCAAAACCAAGTTCCAAACAGAGAAGGGTAATAGACATACAATGAAAATTACAGAGCAAAGTTCTTAAATCATTGGATTACATAGTTTCTAGAGTTCAATTTTTTAGAGGCAGAATTGTGTTCCACATAATAGGACGCTCAGCACTTTGCTCTAAACAGTTTGGCAGTTGCTGGAAATAAACAGCTACTATTACATCTGGTGAAACTTATGGTAGTATTCGAAGATTTCTGGGCATGGATTGAATGGGCATATGGTTAATATCTTCATGCAGTGGGCAACTGAAAGTAGATTCCCACATACAGCTAGACCCCAGTTTAAGAACAAGATCCATTCCCAAGATCTGTCCTTAAGGTGAATTTGTATATAAGTTGGAACAGTATTATTGTACAATAATGTATAAGTATTATGTAAGCATCTTGATCCATTGTGTATTTAACAAATTTTACTACAATAGTCTCTGTTCTTAACAGAGTTGTTCTAAACGAGGGCATTCTTAACCTGGGGACATGCTGTATTTAAATACATTAGACTGTTGCATTTACATGCTATTGATGTTCTAATTATAATGGCAGTTTGCATTATGTTTGGTATAAAGGACAAGTTTGATTTGGAACATTTATTTTCTTTTTTTCATTGCAACAAAATGTTGCAATAACAAGCAAGCTTCACTGAAAGTTAATGAAAAGATTCCAGCATGTTGTCACGTAGTGAGATGGAAATAGGGTTGTTGCTTAGCATTAATGGGTAAAACTCTCCCTTGGACAGGGTTTTCATGGTGTAAAAATTAAACATATATGGGGCAAAAGATACATTCTTGTTCCAGTAGAAGAGAATATGTGTGCCTCAGAGTTGAATGTGGAGTTACTCGTGCTCTCTGAGCCTGGTTGTTTATTTGCAGATGTTTCACTAGCACTGAGTTGCACTGATGATGACTTCATTACCAACTTAAACTGATGATGTTACCTACTTGGGTAATGAAATATCTGTAGGAAACAACCAAGTTCAGAGAGCACCAAGGATCCCATTCTTCAGGATAGTAATTGAATCATAAATCACTTCAAGAGTAGTAAATCTTACTTGCAAAGTTATCCATCACGAATGGAAGCGATTGTATATTCAGTAGCATACATATTTTTTTTAAAAAAAGAAAGTTTTCTCACCTCGGTCCATGCAGACACAAACCACTGAAGTTTCTTGTTTTTATAGCATCGTTTCAGGAGGCAGGTTTCTTGCATCTTTGGTTTCAGTTCTGCGGCACAAGCAGCATCGGGTAAAATTTGATCCCAGTGAGAGGAAGAGAAGCTTTTGCACAGAACAGTTCTTTTCCTCCAGCCTTTCCCACATGTTCGAGAGCACTGGGAGTGTAGAATGGACAACGAACATGATAGCAAAATGTTTCTCAAAAATAAGAGAAAAGAATTTGAAGTAAATAAAATATGTAGCAGTTTGGTGTGTGTTATATACTTTGCTTTTCCAGCAGAATATTCTTACATTCTCATAATATTTAGAATAGAACTGGAGAAGAATCAAATGCCCATTTAGTCCAGTTTCATAGGGAAGGAAAGTGTGCAAGAACGGCATCAGGACGACTAATCTTTCCACGTTAGTTCTAAGTTTATATTACAGCATATAAATGTAAATGGTACTGATTCTTGTTTCTTAGTCTGATCTCTTTTAAATTGAAAAATGCTTAGTTTAAATATTTAAAAACATACTGGAATTAAATCCACTCTACTGATTATAGCAGAGTATAGGCACATTTCTATCTAAAGTGTATTATATTTTAATTGCGGTTAAAAGTTGCAAGTGACTTATATGTGTGTAATATCTGATGACAAACTACATTTCCAGTAATGAATTACGATATAACTTTCCCTGAATTGTATCTCTCATACCGATGGGAGGGGGGGAAAGCCTCCCTCTTTACACACTTCCAGTAGACTGTTGTTCAAGTCTACCAAAGTGTCACTGGTTATCAATTGTGATAAAAGGTCTTATTACAAATTCTATCCAAGAAATCAAAGTTACCCTGAAATACATGTAGTTATTTATTCATCTGTTGGATGTAATTGTGACGTATACAAGCGTGAATTTAATGTACCTCAGACCATGGCCCGGTGCTCCACGTAGGCGGACATCTTTGAATGTTACATAGCTCCCTGGTGACTGGGGCAGGGATTTGACAAAGGGAGTCTGATACCCTTTCTGGCTCGTATTGAATTCTCTGCATGCAGTGAATACCCCGAAACCTCTCTCCTCCTCCACAAGTCAAGCTGCACCCACTCCAGTTCCCAACAGACCAGCTAGAAGAGGATTAAAACAAACAAACAAACACAGTTTGCACTTGCAGATCTGACCAGCTTGTCTAACCCAGCATAAGGGGAATCTGATTTATTTGTAGGGATCACATTTGTACCACAGCTTTTCTCCAAACATTTAAGAGCTCAACTTACGATTACAATTGAGCCCAAAATTTCTCTTGCTAAGCAAGGCACTTGTTAAGTGAGTTTTGCCCAGTGGTGGGATTCAAATATATGAACAACCGGTTCTCTGTGTGGATGCTGCTTCTGGAAGTCCATTCTTGGCCTGGGCAACAAAAAATTAGCTACTGGTTCTGCCGAAGTGGTGTGAACCGGCTGAATCCCACTGCTGGTTTTGCGCCTTGTTAGAACCTTTCTTGTCATAGTGACTGACTGCAGTTATTAAGTTAATAATACAGTTGTTAAGTGAATCTGGCTTTCCCATTGATTTTGCTGGTCAGAAAGTTGCAAAAGATGATCACATGACCCTGAGATACTGCAGTCGTCATAAATACATGCCAGTTGTAGCTTACATTGAAAACAAAACAGAAACAAGATTCAGATACTTTCAAACATGAGATAATTTTTATAAATGGCTAGAAAAATGGAATCAAGAGTAGGAATGGAAACTGTATGACTATTAATGTTAAATGTGTGAACCCAGACAACGCGTTGTTTATTAAGCACTAAGGATTGTTATTGTAAAAAAATAATATATGTATATATAAAAATACATGCCAATTGCTAGGCATCCAAATTTTGATCACATAACCATGGGGGAGCTGCAATGGTCGCGGTCATAAGTCACTTTTTTCAGTGCTCTTGTAACTTTGAACGGACACTAAGCAAACTAATGTAAGTCAAGGACTACCTGTATTTTATTTTCTCATTATGATAAGAGAGTAAGCAAAAGACACCGACTTTTAGTATATTCCATAGGTTCATGAAACCTGAAACCTCAGATGCTATTTCAGACTGTTTTTAGATTTCCATGGTTTCAATGTCACTCACATCATATAATTTGGAGAGTGGGGGAAAAGAAGAATGAAAAAGAACAAAAGAAAGAATGAAAGAATACAGCAGATATAGATTATTACTCTTTAATGATGGAAATATGTCACTTTTCTAAACATAAATAATTCTGACATTCTGAAGTGTATTTTGTAAATTGATATATGGCAATGATTCTACATAGTGAAAACAGTGTAATTTGATTTAAATCATTCATTTTGTCCCTAGCAATATTTTAATTGAGATTTTTTGGCAAGCAGGAAATTTTTTGACAATAATTATAGTCTAATAGCAATCACAATATGTTCAGATACTTTACCACAACGAATGATATAATGTGTACACAATTAAGAGCATGATCTGAGAGCCAGACATCCTTGAGCAGTTTCTTCTTATATATGAACTCACTGGATGACTATATGCAGTCCAGTAACTGAACGGATGCCTCAGCAGATGGCAGCATGTGGCCAATCTGGCCTAATCTGAAAGCTAAGCCGGGTTGGGCCTGGTAAGTATGTAAGTGGAAAACTATCAGAAAATCCAAAGTTTGCAGGTTACAGTGGGAGTCTGAAAATACAATTCCAGCAAAACCCTTCTGTATTGTTTCCAAGAAAACCAGAAGAACGTGTCCATGCAGCCATCCAGAATCAGGCTGGATTTGAAGGAGATTGTATCTCCTAATTGAAAAAAACCAAGGCATTTCTCTTCCTATAATATTTCTTAAAACATGAAATATGGTTGCTTTACTATTAGTGATTTCAAATACAACATCATAGAAATCAAATACAGATTATATTGTTTATGCCTCATCTTAGTCTTGCTACAGGAAAAATACAGATAGTCATTGTGACCACAATTGAACCCAATATTTCTTTTGCTAAGTGAGACACTTGTTAAGTGAGTTTGGGCCCATTTTATAACCTTGCTTGCCACAATTATTAAGTGAATCACTTCAGTTGTTAAATTAGTAACACGGTTGTTAAGTGAATCTGCCTTCCCCATTGACTTTGCTTATCAGAAGGTCGCAAAAGCTGATCACACATGACCCTGGGACACTGCAGACTGTCATAAATAGGAGCTGTTGCCAAACATCCAAATTTTGATCACATGACCATGGGGATGCTGTAACGGTCGTAAGTGTGAAAAACGGTCATAGGTCGCTTTTTTCAGTGTTGTTGTAACATTGAATGGTCACTAAATGAACTGTTGTCAGTCAAGGAATATCTATAATTTTTGACAGGGCTTTCATCATATATTGGTAAGCAGATTTACCAGGGTTCAGACTTGTTTTGCTACATATAATAGTCTCATCCATATTCTGCCTTTGCTGCTGTATAAAGGAATGAATATGCAACTGCAGGGAAAAAAACAGAAGTTACCACTTCTGTCACATTTTCTCCGTTTCTTCTGTTTGAACAGATGTTCAACTTATTGACCTTAGGGGCAGGTGTCAGACTCCCCCAGGAATCGGCTTATGCTCTTTTCTCTTTTCCCAAGTTACTGCCCAATATCAAACCTTGGCATGGAAAAGACGGGGGTTGATGACAGGTGATTGGCAAAGAGCGTGGAAAGGCAGACTCCTGGAACAGTAACCCAAGCCCTCAGTGATCATTCTAAAACATTCCCATCAACATTTTTGGATTCTTCACAGTTCCTTTTTGGTTTTAACAGTTTAGTTCATTTGTACCCTATAATGGGTAGCTGCTTATGCACTTGATAAAGCTTGTGAATGCTCCGTTAATTTCTATCAACACATTGTATTTTGTGGACTACAATAATGAACTAAACCCTAGGATTGGAACTGTTAGTATTTCTAGATCTCAGATAGAAGAAACAAGCTAGCCTTCCTTACTCCCTGTCTTTGTTCCACCACCCATTCATTAATATCTTTGATTACCCATAAAATATGTTTTTAGAATTATTGTTGATGGAACATTCAGATGAGAATGAAGACTGATAGGTACAGCTTTATGTGACTGCTGTTCGTTCAGGACCCATGGACCTTTTTCCGCCTTCTAATAGTGACTAGAAAATGTTGGGAAACGCTGAGCCGTGAAAGAGAAACCCATCCTTCAATTTATGAGGATAGCATAAGGAATATGTTCTCTGAGGGAAGGATTCACAGCTTTACAGTCTTATGACCTCAGATTATGCAGTTTTCTATTGAGGCTCTAAATCAAAGAGGTCGTTAGAAAGGGGCTCGTGTTGCTATAGAAAACCTCACAGAGTACAACTATTCCTCGACTTACAACAGTTCATTTAGTGACCATTCGAATCAACAGCACTGAAAAAGTGACTTATGACTTATGACTGTTTTTCATATTTACGACCATTGCAGCATACCCATGGTCATGTGATCAAAATTCAGATGCTTGACAACTGATTCATTTTTATGACAGTTGCAATGTCTCAGGGTCACGTGATCACCTTTTGCAACCTTCTGACAAGCAAAGCCAATGGGGAAGCCAAATTCACTTAACAACCGTGTTACTAACTTAACCACTGCAGTGATTCACTTAGCAACTAGGGCAAGAAAAGTCATAAATGGGGCAAAGCTCACTTAACAAATATCTTACTTAGCAACAGAAAGTTTGGGCTCAGTTATGGTTGTAAGTTGAGGCTATCTGTATTTTCATCCAAACCATAGATCTGGGCTGTCTGTTTTATTTCATTAACCTCAACATCTTTATCTTATATCCTTTTTAAAAAGCTGATTTGGGAATGCTAGTAAATTCTGCAATAGAGGAAAATTCAGACACAATGCTATGTTTTAAATATACTGTATATGAATGTAGTAAAATGCAATCAGAATATTGGCATCAATCATCAGAAACATTATAATAATGTTCAGTTACTTACAAATTGCTATTCAAGCTATCAGATATCTGTATGCTGAACAAAGAGGAAAAATGGTATTGTATTTAAGCGACTTTTAGGATCTGAATTAATATATAGATCAATTTCAGATTATTAAACTTTATGGTAAGTCTAAACTCATATGCATATTTACAAAAAAGAAAATGAATTGAAATTAATAGGATCTACATGATTTTATTTGTTTTTTAATGAAGTCCTAAGATTAGCCTGGGAATAGATTGACGTGGTGGAAGAAATATGGAACAGTCAGGAAAAAAAGCACCATGCTCTGTCTGAGCCTACAGAATGCAGTGCAATACTTGAACATTCCTTCCTTCTATGAAGTCGGGGTATCAGTAAGTTAAAACATTATGTTAATTTTGGCTTAGAGCCAAACAACTTGATAAATCAGATGTCTTTATAAAATTTCTCTCTCTCTCTCTCTCTCTCTCTCTCTCTCTCAGTGTTTTTGTGTGTGTATGTGTGTGTGTGTGTATGTATGCTGAAAAACACAGTAATAGATATTCAACTAATATACGAGAGAATTATCAGCTAGCCATTTGTCTGAAATGGTACAGGGTTTCCTGCCTGAGCAGGGGGTTGGACTAGATGACCTCCAAGGTCCCTTCCAACTTTATTATTATTATTATTATTATTATTATTATTATTATTATTATTATTATTATTATTATTATTACTACTACTACTACTACTACTACTACTACTACTACTACTACTACTATTACAGAAAAAAGTTTCTCCACAGTTGTACGAAAGAAATGCAAGGAGACAATAAAGGATGCAGAAAAAGAGCTCTGAAATACATACAGGATGTTAATACCATTTTAAGATCAGAACTGTTTTTTTAAAAAATTCCCAATTAACAAAATTGCAGAATGAAGAAACTGGCCGAATTGCTAGATGATAAAAGAATTAAGACATTGAAAAGAAGCTGAGAAAATTATTTTCATCTTTTTCCTAAATCAGATATGTTGATCATTGGGGCTTCAGCAGTGACTAGATTCAATAATGGCCTAAATTGAGACAGTAAACTAAGGCTGAATCCTGTCAAGAGTTGTCTGAATGAGAGATTCTTAGATCTGAACGTCAACCTATTCCAGATGGAGAGGAACTTTCCCAGAATACCTTGACTTAGTTTTGCTATTCGAGAGGCTTAGTAGCCTAGGAATGCCTTCCACCAGTCTAGCTTAGTTTGCTAGAGAAGTGATACAGTTTGACCACAATTATTTATGTTCTCACAACATTCTAATTAGAGAAGCTGATGCAGATTGTCAATGCCTTAAATAACTTGAGTTCCACATTTCTCAAGGAGCTCTTCTCTTTCAGCCTTTCTCAGATTTAAAATAATTAGGGAAAGCTTTTCTCCAAAGATCAGAGATACTCAGGACAGTAGGTTAGATTACTGGGTATCCCAAACAGCCTAGAAGGCACAATGACAAACTACCACCACCAAGAAATCAGAACAGGCATGTTTTTGAATGCACCAGGAATTGAGCTCACGCAACAGTACTCACCAGGGGTGGAAGGTAGGCAAAATGAGGCAAAATGACATTATGATTAAAGCCTGCCACTTCGATATAGAGTACGATGCCAGTGCAGTGAAGCTTTGATTGCAAACTGTGATTGTCATCTTGCCCCACCCACATTATTGGGGTACAATTAACACTGAAATTTTGTTGGTTTTTTTGGGGGGGGAGTTCAATTTTGTTGGCTAAGCATTTGAAATGTTTTAATTATTACAGTATTTATATTTGTCTTTTATTGCTGCATCCTAATATGGATTTATTAGGTTCATTTTTACACATTTTAAAATGAATTTAATTTTCTTCTGCTGTGACATGAAGAGCAATATTAAAATACTTTCTAAAAATTAGCAATATATTATAATGCACACATTCAGAACAAGGTTTTCCCATCCTTTTCTACTACAATCTCTCATGTCATAGAAATGGAGGAGTTCCTCGCTGAAGCCAGGTCCATCTGTGATAGAGTGATGTTCTAGTTCGTCTTCCAGTGATGGTTATGTTGATAATTGTCGGAAAGAAAGAAAGAAAGAAAGAAAGAAAGAAAGAAAGAAAGAGAAAGAAAGAAAGAAAGAAAGAAAGAAAGAAATGAGTTCTCAGGAAGAATTAGACATGAGGAAATCTTGCCTCAACCTGTAGAGTAGGGGGCAGGAGAAAGTGGAACTTTTTTAAATGAACATAGTTAAAATTAGGCTACAAAATATACACTGGGCAAACACAGAAGTGACCCAAGAAAGCTCTGAAATAAATGCATGTTTTTGGAGCTATCAATCATGCAGCAGCAGCAGCAACACTAATGGATTTAATTGGAACTCTGTCTTCAGCTTGTAATATTACATGAGGAGAACACAACATAAATATTTATGGTAGACATTTTTGGGACATGCTCAACAGCTAAAAAACTGGCTTAAGGCTAGCTAGTGTAAATGTAATATTTATAAATTTAATGTGTTAGCTCAGTTAGTTTAAATACTCAAAACTGGGATAACAGCCAACTTTGGAGCTTGTGGCCATGAATTCTAAAATATCTTATGCACAACAGAGAAATGATGTCTGGAGGTTCCAGACAGTATAGCAATGTCTCTTTTAACTTGACAGACGGCATCTAAATGAGGTAACTCACTATATCTGCATAAGGAACCATAAAATAACTGCTTGGGTATTTCTGGTATGTGCTGCAACTAAATAGCTGTTTTACTATGATGACTTGGGTTCAATGAAATTAGAAGGGTCTGCACAACTAGTTTGAGAGCCTAAAAATTAAACAGGTCATATGTTACTTAAACAGGAATTCTAACAGCTCTGGGTAGGAATTGTTTCAGTTATTTATTTATTATTTATTTATTTATTTATTTATTTTCATGGAATTATATGCCACTTCTATCATTGAATCGATCACATACTTGTCATCTGCAAACAAGATTAAAACAATAAAATAATAACAAGTAAGAATAAAATCACAAATCTTGTTAAGCACCAAGAACAAAAAAAAACACTGTTAAACCCCACTACCAGAGGGTACAGACTTATGATATATCAGCCCAAAAGTTAACCAGATTTTAATAGCTTTCCTTAATCCCAGCACTGCTGGAGCCAAATTGTATCTCCAAGAAAATGCTACACCAAAGCACTTAATCTTGACTATGCAGTTTTTCTTATAGGAGCTCAAATAATAGCTTGTCATATATGTTATAAAGGCAAAGTCCCCTTAAAGTGGTGTTGCTTTTTTGCAAGTAGTGCTAAAATAGTTTTCCTTTACCTTCTTTATGGATTATTTTGCTTTCAATTTCCCAATCTAATCCATATTCCTAGAATTTCTTGATGGAATTTCCATTCAAGGTTCAACAATACTTATTTTTTTTATTTTTTTGTGATCAGCAAAAACTGGTTAGGTATTGCTACTTGCTGTGACTTGAAAACATGAATGGAGTTCTAACATATGCCAGTAAAACATGGACACTAACCTCACAATCAATACAAAAGCTACGAGTGGCACAAAGAGACATGGAAATATACATGCTCGGCATCACAAGACAAGATAGAAAGATCTGCATATGGATATTCTCTCCCTCTCTCCCTCCCTCCCTCCCTCTCTATCTCTCTCAACACTACCCTTGGATTTACACTATTGGGGTACAGCCAAGGTACATCTAAGGATGGGAGGCTGTTGAAGCACCAAAAGTGGTGACAGTCCTCATTACTATTATAAGTATTATATTATTTCCTTATTTTAGGTAGTACCTTGGAGAGAAGGATAAAACTTAGGAATAATAATTTTAGAGATGCTCAACAAAATACCAAAATTAACATGAGTTTTGAACTGGCACTCCACAAATGTTAGTTCATTGGCTTGAATTCTATGGCATTTCTTGATCTACATTGAGATTATGACGGAGACAATTCTTATAAGGGGATGCAGGTAAACAAGCTACATCCAGACTAGTTCATTACCAAAGAAAAGGACAGGTGGAAACCATCCCCTCTGCCAAAAAAAGAATAACTTCAAACCTATCGGACTGTACATGCAGGAGAATTAAGCACAAGAAATTAATCTTTGATTTTACTGAAACCACTATTTCATTTGATACATAGAAGTTACTGAAATTATCCCATAAAACCTACATCAGCTTCTCTGAGATACACCTTATCAGAAATAATATGTCCTTGAATGCCTTGGTACCTGCCTCCAACCTAGTGTACACAAGAAAAAATTGCCAGTTTATGATATCACTGGGATCAATTATACTATATAACCTACATTAGTCCATTCAGATTATAATGAAAGGCTTCATTGTTATTCATGGATGATTAGGGTATTAATGATCAGTAATCTTTGTTAAGCTTTTGAGTTACAAAATCCATCACAGTCAGGGAAGAACAACCTCCCCACCTAACTGCTAAATATTATTTTTTTACTATTATACTCTTATATGGGACTGCAAGAAGGTAGAGAGTGTTAACTGAAAACAAATGCATTAATCAGTAGAATAAATAAAATAAACATCAATTGCAATGCAAAGCCATAAGACTCCATAGCAATATAGGAGTTAAAGAGCTAAGCGAAATTTAAGATAGGGTGGAACCTAAATTGTGATCCACAGCATGTTTAAATGCTAATAGTAAGGGCAAATGGGCCTTCAGGGGAAGGGGTAACTTAAGTTATCACTTACAGCTTAGGTGACCTAATTGAAAAGCTTCTATCCTACATGTAGACCAGCGGTTCTCAACCTATGGGTTGCAACCCCATTTGGGGTCGATCGACCATTTCACGGGGGTCGCCAAGCAAGGCTGTCTGCCATTTTTTCCCCCTTTTCCGGCGGGTGCCTTACCTCCCTTGAGCTGGGCCAGCTGGTGGTCGGCCTGCTCCATCTCTGCCGCTTGCCAGCTACGCCTCAGCCGGCCCAGGGGGCGGAACCACGCATGCGTGGCGCTCCCGGGCAGGGAAAGTCCTCAACTTATGACCGGTTGGGTAGTCCTCGACTTATGACTGGTTTAGTCCTCGACTTATGACCGGTTTAGTCCTCGACTTACGACCGGTTTAGTCCTCGACTTACGACCGGTTTAGTCCTCGACTTACGACCGGTTGGGGGTCGCGGCATTAAAAAGGTTGAGAACCACTGATGTAGACCATCAGCTGACTGATAGTGAGAAGAAGATGGGGAACCAGAAACTGAACTTGAGGTCAGAGCCAAGGGACAAGTACTAGTCAGAACCAAATAATAGAAAATGTAACTGCAGAAAAAGCAGGAGGAAGACAGAAAGGGCACACAGCACCACAGCAGAATCAAGAACAGTTTGTTCTTCAGAAAAGGTTCCAGCCTAAGCAAAAAGCCTTTCAGGGTCCAGGAAGGCAAATAGAAATACCACCCCATAGTGCTTTACAGAATTCTCTGGGTGGGTTCATTTTGCATATTGCTTCTAATAATCTGAGTCCTTATTTTACCGATCCTGGAAGGATGGAAGATGAGTCAAACTTGAGCTGGTCAGGATCAAACTCCAGGCTGTGGTCAGAGTTTGCCTGCAATACTGTGCCACCAGGACTTTTCATGGTCAGCTTTGGCATGAATGTTCAGTCCAAAGATTTAGAAAATGTTTTGCTGTTGGTAATATATTCCAGCCTAGACTTCCCAAAGCTTATCACACCAAGAAGTACTGTATATATATTCTTCACTTGTGAAAGCCTTAATGACCAGGACTTGAACCATCCCTGGAAACAAACTGGAAGCCAGTACATATTACAAATACATTCCAAACAGAGTTTCAGTTGAAAGGTGTTGCAAATTCATTGAACAGGTATATGTAATGCTTATATTTGAGGAAATATACACTTTGTTGTGCATTTTATTACCTGGGAGGACAAGGTGGCATTTTGCAAGGGATGGCTCCAGTAGCTGGTCGACTCTTGTGGTCACATAAAGATATATCGACTTGTACTTGAAAATCTTTGTAGCAGGTTTCTTTTGTCACCATTTGACCTGCATATAACACAGCATAAATGGCAAGCACAAAATCATGAACAACTGTTTACATTCAAAACTCCATTTTTTGGTTATTTAAAGCCACAGTGTCCATCTTACACAATCCTACGCAAACAATAAGCACACTTATATGACTACCTCCCATGGTTTGATTTCCCAGGTCAAAGACATGCTTTGTGCCTTAAGTATTAACTAATTTTCATGACTATTTGACAAACAATTCTGGGGAATATGATATATCATTTGCTCCTATTTGCTGCTCCATAGTTGTTTTTCCTTTCTGCAGCCTTTTTTTTTTAATTTCCATCCATGATTCTTCACTAAAATATAAACTCAGTTGTGTCTATACAAGTTAGCTTGTTGTTAGCTCTGTATTAGCAGAAAAGGGATGCAGCTTCCTTTTTCAGTCACAGGGATGTATAATTCAGACAAATTTCTTCAGAGAAAGGAAACAAGGGGATTATTTACAAAGTTCTCCCAATTCAAATGCTTTGATTTTATTTCTGGATTATTTCTTATTAATCCATCACTGCATTTTTAAATTTTATTTTCAGACAATGTCTGCAGTTTGTTACATCTCTCAGTTTACATTTCTTACCCTATTCTTATAAATTATCAATACATACGACTACATACAAGCACTAATTAAACATATTTTGTGATCTGATAATGACTGATGTTTTATAATGATTCTGATAACTTTAAAGGAAAAAATGAACAGGAAACTGATAATCTGAGCACATACTATCTCTCAAATATATCAGAAAGTAATGCCAAAGGATGAAAAGACAACAAACTCACAAAAAGGTAATAAAATGAAACAGCATCTGCTAATTTATAAATCAACTAACTACAAAAATGTAGGATGCAGAGTTCAAGAACAACTGTATAGATCTTATATCATGATAACAGTTTTGTTGACTACATTTGAATTAGATAAATGTTTAGAGTATTTGATTTGAAGTTTGCAAATAGGGATTATCTATCTATCTACTCCAAATTTTTCATTGTGTTAATTCAGGCAGCATTTAGCTCAGTGCAGGCAACTGCTTTATTGCTCTGAGTAGCTGTGATTCCAATTTAGAGTTTTTTTTCTTTGCAAACCTGTGTACTTTTTATGCCTTAGAATATATGGAAGGTTACATAGTGATCAACCCTCATAAAATTTGTAAAAGCAAAATACAGTTTGGTCTGACACACACTATTAGTCTGAAGGAAAGTTTGACCCATTTCATTAACATGTTTAAACTTACATCCTGCTATATAAAGTTTGACAAACTGTATGTAAACCGCCTTAGATGAGATAGATAATGGCCTGGTGGGCAGAATCATTACCATTCTACTTCCCCATCTTACTCAGCTCCTAGAGTTCAAACTTGTCCTTAGTCTTTTAAGGATTCTCACTGCAGGGAATTACCATATTATAGTTACAGAATACACTGTTATTATTATTATTAAAGAAAGGATGAGATGGAGTAGGTTTCAACTTATGTCAACTTCAGCTGGAAGAAACTCAGTTGTCATTATTTGGTGCCTTCTCCACTGAGTTCAAGTCCTCTCTAAACATGAACACTCATCGGCTCCTGTTTTTAATCCTCCAAACCTGTCTCAATATTAAGAGGGCCTTTATAAAATGGCTACAAGGGAGACTTTGCTTGAAGGGAACCACCTCAGACTACTAAGGTGGGTATGGAGATCCATATGGCAGACTTACTCTTACTCTCCTCAGCTTTTATCTTCTCCTTTTCTCCTATTGTGGGAGTTTCCCAGTTTCTTCATCCCTTCTATGAACACTTCTCTTAGTGTAAGTTTATCCTTTTCTTAATTTATTGGTGTATGTACTTTTTTTCCATAACATTTTGCATGACTGATATAAATTTATATCAATCTACTAATACAAAGAGTGAGTGAGGGCAATGGTGGCCATTTAACATTCAGAGATGGAAGGACTATATTCTACAATTTATTTCTAGTTCTATTAGTATCTTTACCAATGCAGTCTCCCCATGCAGACTCTGCTATTTTTTATAGTTACATAATATATGGCTTGCCAGACGTCCAGACAATTTAGTCATGCATTTTATGGACCTGCCCATCACATGCTGTCTGTGCAATGACTAACAAGAAGCTCAGAAAACAGCTGGCAGCATGTCATCTTCCCAGCTAGGTGAGTGACTCTGAATTGGGAAGAAGGCAACAACTTTTTAGTTTGACAAATAAATCAGACTTCCCCCCCCCCAAATATGTACAAACATTCAGGGGAAGAATTGGCTCCCAAAATAATAAAATATGGATCATCATTTTTAAAATTGATATAGGAAGAAACTAATTTCAAATGAAGCTCCATTTCATACGTTGTAACTCATTAGTTCATCTGGACCCTAGAATTGTTTCCATGACTATTTTTAAATCTAGTGGAGTAATTATCAAGGCCATTGTGTGACCTGTAACTTTTCCTTGTTAAAGTTGCATGCAACACTTGTTTAGCTACATCAAAGACACTGCACTGATTTCAAATAATTCTTAGAATATTTTTTTAGGAAATTCTGCCCCACCCACTTTCAAATCATTGTCACATTCTCCACCCAATGTATCATTGAAGCCAATGAATGCTTGGCCAGGAAAGTAATATTAAGTGTTGCTCTCAGACAACAAAAGGTTATCTGTCTCTATTCTGTCTGAAGTGTTACTATAACACCATACAATTATTGAGACGAACAAACAAGCTAAAAATGATTAGCACTGAGTTATGGACATCGCTACAATTTACAAAGTTCAGAATTGCATCAGTGGACCCTACATTTTATTGAAATGAGTAGATCTCTGGAAGCTAAAATGGACAAAGAAAAAACAAACTGATAAAATACTTGGAACAATAAATATCCAGCTGCCAGTGTGTCCAGCTGTGTTTCTTCACTGAAGAAATGTGTGTGCATGTAACGCATTGGATTCCATTGTTTGTCCATTGCAGCTTCCTACTTGTTGGGGGGGGGGGAAGGGATGTTTATTACAACCAAAATGAAATTGGGCTCAGGATGAGGTTTGCTTTTTGCCATTCTTTTTTCTTTTTATACTTGCAGCAGAAATTTTCTGCAAAAACATTGCCTACTAAGCATTTAATCCCAGCCTTAGCAATATGTAATTTAGTAATGGTTAACTAATAAATCCATCCAGGTGATATTAACACATACCAATAAATTTAAAAAAATCTAAAATGAGATTAAAAGGAAAGATTGAAGAAGAGCAAAAGATCACTTTAAAATTCTGCTACAGTTTGACAAGCATAACCCTCTTAGGTCAAAGGCAGAAGTAACTGTATTGAAGCTGCTGAGACAAAGATCAGCTTCAGTTTTTAAGGATCACAGTCATTTTGACCTTTACCTTTTACATGACATCACCTCTTCATTCTCCAGGTGGCAGATGTTTACACAGAACAAGCAGTAGGGGATTATTGCCCCATAAACAGACAGCTCAGATGCAGATTCTGGCCTCTAACAATGTAATTTTCATCTTGTCAATCATTGGTAGCTACACAGACTTGGCTAGGTGACAGCATCTTAAATGGATAATAATAGGCATGTGTCTTCATGGGGTCCTCTTACCACAGATTTTCCCACCCTGTTTTCAGATTAGACCTAACTTTAGCTCTATCTCAGTCCACAAAGCAATAACAAGTGTTGTAAACCAATACACCTGAAAGGCAATAGATTGGGGGATATTATTCTGGAACAGAGGAAAGCAGCTAACTATTTCAGAGGTCATTTTGAGCCTCCAGTTTTACCATCTAGTTCTCAGTCTGTCCAAGCTCCTCATCTTTTGCATTATTACACCTTAAGCAAAACAGAGTCCTCTAATTTCCTTCTTCAGTAACATAAAACAATGCCAAAAAAGAAAATTACTGTATTTTGAAGAATAACAAAAATCTAGTTTCAGCCTTGAATCCAAAACTCAAAATTTTGCTCCAGTTAGACAGATCTATATATAAATAGATATACCTAAGATACATTGTAGATAAATAGATACGCTATAAATAGATACACACAGTGCTTTTTTTGTAAAAAAAAAAAGGTGCCGGAACTCACACATGTCATACAACCCGCCTTGCCTACCCTACAAGTTTCCATCCAAAAAAGGTGCCGGAACTCCATTCTGGGCATTCTATGACAAAAAAAAGCCCTGGATACACATATGAAATGTTTCTGACTATTGCCACTCCAGACCCAAAGTTATCATTAAGTTGAATAAAAAATAACCACTTGTAAATCCTTTTGAGAGGTGCTATTTAATTTTGAACTTCCAGATAAGAAATAGCAGACTAAAGACCACTCCATGAAAAGTGGACCCAACAATTGCAGCGGAAGAAGACCTGATAGTAAACTGGGTCTTTGAAACCTCTCTGGACAAGGAGAGGATTTGAGATTGCCCACAATTGCTCCAGACAGCTCATAAAAAGACCATAAGATTAATGGCCTCTGTGGGTTTAGAGTTCTGTGAGATAAGGGAATCTTGCTCAAACCAAGGTCAATGCCCAAGGTCAATTACATATTACCTCCTCCAATCACTTTTGGAAATTGCTTGTTACTGGAAACCCTTATAGACGTTTTGCATAAAACAGAAAAAATAAAATTATGATTTATGGGTTACACAGCACAGTTTCCTTCAATCCTTAGTAAAAGAAAGTTTTAACTATAACTTTAAGAATTTAAATTGGAATAATTCACAAAAGGGTGCCTAAAACTTTGATTTCAGAAAGTTATAAATGAAATAAGGGTCCAAATAAATTTGAAATAAAATTTTGGAGTTAATTCTAATAAATCCTTCCCATGGGAAAATATTTTTGTTTTGATTTAAAAAAAAAGATTTTAAAATTAGGCAATAGAGGCAGAAGTTATTACAGAACATTGCAGAATTGGCTTTTTTGGCAGTTGCAGTACACCGCTGGCTCATACTTAAGTAATTGTCCGCTAGGACTCCTAGATCCTTCTCAAAGTTACTGCTGTTGAGCCAGTTACCACATATTTTATACCTGCACATTTGGGGTTGTTTTTTTTTGCCTAAGTATAAAATTACAATTAAAGACAATTACAATTAAAGGAGAAGAACTCACAAATCTGAATTACAGTTATGGAAGTGAACAAAATAATCTAACATATGACATATTGAAGGATGTTTTTGAAAAATGGGCTCAGAAATTAATTTTATAGTGTCGACAGAGACATCTGCCTCACAGGAAGGACTGTGTGTAAAAGATGTTATTGAAGAGGAACAAGTTTTACTTGACAAGATTGAGACTAGGTTGAAAAAGGATTTACGAAGGTCAGGCTGCAAGAATGACATGGAAAAAGATGCTGCATTGGACATGCAAAAGAAACTGGCTGGTATTTAATAATTAAAAGTGATATACAAATAATAAACCAAGAAAGTGACCTGGATAATTTTCCTGCATTGGATTTAGAAAAGAGACATTCAAATTTTGAAGAACCTCATGAGAAGGAACAAAGAAACATGAAAAGAAATCAAGTGCTAAGACATGATTTGAATGGACTAAAGATTACAATTGTTAAAGGAAGGAATATATATGTTGCTATCTCTGGTAACCTTTAATGGATTTTTGTTGACGCCAGGACTGAAATGACAATGCTTTATGGATTTGTTTGTTGATAAGAAATGGGATATGGAAAGAAGAAACCACTTGTTGTACTGATAAGTTACTAAAATTATTTATACTTCTATTGATGAAGATAGGAACTCACTTCTCTATGTGTGTGTGTGTATTTCTTTACTGTATTCTTATTTTTCCTTCTTTTATATTTCTCTTTCTTCCTTGTCTTCTTTCTTTTCTGCATTTCTACTCTTCCTTTTAATTTTCTACTTTAGTTTGTATTAGTTTTTACTGTTATAATCTTTATTAAAATTATTATATAGACATACTACACTCTTTAATTTTTGTCATCAATTTCCTGTTCAAAAGATAGTATTGGGGTGACATATAAAATATTTTGAGTTTCTAGAAATATTGGTATTATTTTTTTCAGTTTGTTAACAAAAAATGATCAGCATAACAAAATATCAGGTGTCTTTCCCTTTGTCTCTAATATTTAAGATAAAACTTAAGAGGTGGCTGAAATAAATAGCTCATTAAGGAGATTACTATCCAAGTGGACTATACTTCAGAATTGACTGAATGTGGCTAGGAAGGTCTGATTTTTGAAAATGGAACACTTTGTAGTCTGCAATAAAACTATATTTTAATACATTTCAGAGATACCTTACCTGCTCCACATGAGACTGAGCATTTAGAACGGATGATGGCCCACGTATAGTTATGTTTTAATATTTTTGTTTTTTCGGTTTCCACTTTAGGAAGAAAATATTCCCATGAAATTCCTAGATTTTTACCTTGTAAGAGAAGCTGATAAAAGGAAACAAAGGAAGCTATCAGTTCATGCTTAGAGTATGCTAAAATATAAATGCTTCCATAATTAGGAATTCCTGGCCAGATAAATAAATACAACATAAAATCATGCTTTGAAAATATCTGGAACGGTTCAGGTAGAACTGAGGTGAATCTAGAGAATTATAATATTTGTGTAAGTACAAAATGCACAAATCTCTGGCATAGAAGTAAGGATCTTATTTTGTCTCTTTTAGTTCACGAAAAATGGATTTGCTTAGCAAAGTAGGGCAAGTGTGTCTCAGTGACTAGATCTGGTCCATCAGCACAAATTAGTAAATATTCTGTTGAGATCTTCAGATTTTATACTTAAGGAAGTGTGTGTAAAATTAAACCAGTTGATCATCCTGTGGCTAAAATCAGATTTATGGGTGATCCATAAATGCTGTTTTCATTGTTCTTGGGAGGATGGAATAATTCAAGTTGGCAGCAGCATTCTGGGGAAGAGCTATTGATCATGATGTGATCAGTGGATGAAAGTCTTAACACCTGAGAAAGTTCAGCTTACTAGCCAATAACTGCTTGTTAGAACTGGAGACCACAGAGTGACCCAAATGATATCAGGCAGAAATTTGAGCTCCATACCACCTGACCCTGACATTTCTATTTCTCTGGCAGCAAATTTTGATTTAGATCACATCATGATAGGGAGAATGACTTGAGCTGCTGCATTAGCACAATTAGCACATTAGTACAATTAGCACATGGTACTCTTAGAAGCCTGCTGGCTGTCTGGTTATTCCCATTACATTCCCTACAAAGTGATAAGACACATTAAAACAGGTTTAAATATCAGAACATATATATAAAAAACCACGTGGAACAGCCAGAGTTAAGATCGATCTATTTATATATATATTAACGACTTTCTTTTTTACAAATAAAATCTTATGTCATTGGAATCTGTCTTGTCTGTTCACAGTTTTAGATATGACTAATGAATTCTTTTCTTCTGTTACAGTTCCTCAGTTCACGGAAATGTGTTGAATATCTAATTGGCTATGCCTGAAGGAAACCATTACCCACAAGGACAGCTTGCTGAATAAGTGCAAGACACCATCCAGTTTGACTAATCTTCCAGTTGCTTAGCACTGAACAAGAATTGGAGAGAACTGGTTTTTAAAAAAAAAATTAGTGGCACTGATTTAGGATAGCTCTTTTAATAAGGTAAATTTATTTATAGTCTGCCATTCCAATAAAAGTTATGGCAAGTTAATTTTGGTATTTAAATTAGTATGCACAACATAAATAAATTGATAGCAACAACCTCCCAAATATTTGTATTCTTTTGATGATGGCATGCTCTGTGGGAATTAGATACATGCAGACTGTTGAAGAAATGCAAGTTCCAAGGTGACTCAGGACCATTAAAAAGGATTTGGCATAAGGGCTGCTATGCCAAGGGAACAACATGAGATGGAATTTGTGTACCTTGCACAGATAACTAAAGAAAGAAAATGAAGCAAAATGAGAAAGAAGATCCAGGTTTTTCCAGCTAAGTTTTAACTACAACCCTTGATTAATTTGTTGGGGAATTTAGCAGCAGCTATATTATAAGATAAACACATTGTCATTTTAGCAGAAGCAATACTGTTGTTGGCAGACAGAGAGTTAATCTCTGAATTGTAGAGCAATTAGGTTATAAATTAATGAAGGCAGATACAGCAGGAATATACCTACCCTCCCAAAATCCAAATTGTTTGTAAGAAGGAACTAATCACTCCTGAACATCCATGGCACAGAATTTTAATGGATTATTTCATTACTGCAATTACTGCTTATTTTATAATATAGCTGACACTATATTAACAAGCTAATCAAATGTATTCTATCATTTTTATGGGGCATATTTTACTTTGCATTTTTCTGTATAAGCTTCTGGGAATAATTTTAATGATGGCAGCATAGAATTACGTTTAATAAATAAATAGATTTCCAGAAGAAACAAATGTATGGACATCCTACCCCTCCATTGTATTCTCCATAGTTATCCAAGCTTATTACTATTCAAGGGCACCGCAGAAAGAAAACTGCAACTCCCCCAACAACTTTGAAGGTGTAGAAAATTGGATAATTTTGTTGTTGTTGCTTGGAGGTGAGAAGATGGAAAAAAAATCTCAGAAATGTTTCTCAGAAATATGTTTTTGAAAATAACATCCCTGCTCTAGTTCAATGTTTCAGCTTCAATGTTTTATGTTCCATTGGAATAATCTAAGGTGTCCCAAGCTTCTGAGGATTTTAGAGTAGGAACTAATTTCCTTCCTTCCTTCCTTCCTTCCTTCCTTCCTTCCTTCCTTCCTTCCTTCCTTCCTTCCTTCCTTCCTTCCCTCCCTCCTTCCTTCCTTCCTTTCTTCCTTCCTTTTACTTGAATGCTCTATTTTTAATTTGCCTTTTGTTTGTTTTGAGATTTTTTCCATAGATATCCCCAGTCCTTCTTATCAAACAAATAATATAAGTATACTCTATACTACTAAATGAAACTGAAACTAAATTCCCCAAATAGGGGACAACTTGGATTATTCCAAGATTAACTATTATTCATTGATTGCACTCCAACAACATGTAAAAGTGTACAAAACGATCAGATTCCTTTGTGACCTCATTCTGTCTTCTCGCTGAGATTTGGTCTAGCAGCAGCAGGAAAGGAGGAAAATAGTTAAGTTCTTCTCTAGGTCTGTATAAAATCTATGTAATATTTATAAGATAACATTAGGAATTGCTGAAGCTTGTATTTTGACTGCAGTGCAAATTCCGAGACAAAGCCATAATGTCAGTTATAAATATCCCATGGCTTGCTATAGTATAGGTTAAATTGCAATAAGTCGTCAATTCAGGAAGAAGGAACAGAGCTATGAAGCCTAATAAAATTATGTTCCTTATTCAATATGTTATGTTCCAGTATTGTATTATGACTGTTCCAGGTGAATAACAATGGAGAGGCTACAAACAGAGATTAGATTTTCTTAACCTGCATTATCCATGTATTGGACTTCTCAGTCGACATGATAAAAAATTTGAGTCCTTCCAAAATCAGGAATTCTAATTATTTTTATACAGTGAACAATATTCCATGACAATATCACCTACCTCTATTACAACGCTTTCATTTGTAGGTCCAGAAGCACTTAATGTCTCTGGGTGGTTATGTGGTCTTTGATAGACAAACAGAGTCCCAGCAAATTTGTATTTCCCAGGCCAGTCAACAGTCCAATAGCCATTGAGGTGGTATTTTTTACTGGAAGTACGAACAGCAATATAGGAGTTGGATACATTCATCTCATACACATTAATGCTTCTTGCTCCAGCAGGGATTGTGACTAATGTGTAGTATTCTAGATAAAGGAAGAAGAGAGACACTCCATAATGCAATAGCCAGGTCCAGATGAAACTATGGACTTTAAGAAATAAGTAAATAAAGATCTAATAACCTCAATGTAGGTTTCTGCTAGGAATCTGGAGAGTTAAAGTGAAGACCTCATGATATAATTATTCTTTTATATTAAATTCTATATGCAGGGGTGTCAAACTGCTGGCCCGCGGACTGGATGCATCATAGTGAAACCACACCAATCCCATTGTCAGGAATGGCAAAAAAGTTGTGATACGTCACGACACATCACGTGAGGTTGCGAGTTTGACACCCCTGCAGTAGAGAGTTCACTGATATATTCAGAATTGCAACTTTAGGCATGCAGAGGGCCAACACTGTTGACCCTGTAGAAATTATATTATAACCATTACAAAAACAAGTTTTAAGAATTATAACAATATATTCTAGATGAGTCTGTTTCCTGATCCGACCTATCTCAAAGGGCTTCTATCCTGAAAGTCTCACTGTTTTCCTTTCCCTCCTTCTTTTAGCCCAAGGACTTAGGACAGAGCCAATGTGAATTTCTTTATAATGCTCTCTTCATTTCCCAGGCTTGAGGTAGGTTTTTGTAACTGTTGCTACATATGGTAGCTTCTCCAAAGTCATCCCTTTAGCATTCTACATGGAGCTATTTCAACTGTATGAATTCAGACTTTAAAGGCATCTTTAGATATAGGACATTGATTCTTGTGAATAATGGTTACAGTCCTCCAGATAAATCCCTTTCCAAGGAGATGCAGAGCCTACATGAGGATAAAGAAATAAATCCTGAGAAGTCTGTTTCTGAAGTCTTGGTCAAATTTCCTCTCAACCCTGATCCTGCCATCCTGAAGTCAGGTTCTGAAACAAGTTCATAGACATGCGTGTTAAATCATCTTTTTTTTTTTTAGTTAAATACCGGAAAGCAGAGCTAGAAAGAAGTGCCACATTGTTGGGAAAAATAAGCGTCCTTTAAAGCCTCCTCAAAAATAGGCTGTTTCTCTCAAGTAGATAAGCAATAACAATGGGATATAAGCAACACCAATTATGTTGCAGTGGGATTAAAGCCTGTCCTTGATTTTTTTTGCAACACTGAAACATAGTGTTTCAGTTGAGGCCAACCTGACCTAGATTTCTCTCTGTTTTGAAACTGTGATATTCTAAACAGGATAACACGCCATCTATTCCTGAAGTTTCAAATAGCAATACTGTAGAGTCATCATCTTGCTGGGCACATAAATTACAGAGGCAACATGGAGAAGAATTCCGTACTGTTTCTATACCCGAAGGATGCAGCCTTTTCTCAAAAGGATGCTGGGTCTTGGAGATACTTGAAAAACAACAAGTCTTTCTATTATTTTAAATACTGAAACCAATAGATAAGCTCATAGCCTACTATGACACCAAGAAATGGTGTTGGGCCTTGAGCACAGTGTTACACCAACCATGTTCTTGCCTCTTATTCTGCAGGGAAGAGGGGTAAGAACATAATAACAGACTGACTACCAAGAGCATTACGCATCATGTCATTTGATAAAAGATAACAGAAACTTGGAGTCAATATGAAAATACAGTAGGGAAACTACAGTATCACATGGGGGTCTACAAGCTCATAGGGTAGCAGATTCATTTGATGTTTTTGATAGCATATTATGGAATTTCAGTAAAAAGCACTGTCCTATTTGGCTTGTACAATTGGCTGCTACAAGGATATGATCAGTAACAGACCATGTTACAAGAAAGTAAACTGAAAAAGCTGAACCCTCTCTATTCCTCAGTAGACTCATTAATGTTTTTATCCAGTTGGATGGTGGGTCTCTGCTGAGATCTTTTACATGTATTAAATGTAGTTTTTCTAGCCTTCAAAGAAGAAAGGACAAAAATGTTTAGAAAGCAACTTTATTGTCAGTTTTATGGAAGTAAATCATATGTGCTGAGTCTTCATAAAACTGCTCATTTAATTTGTTTTTATCATTCTTATTTATATAGACATGTACAGTGCTTTTTTGTAAAAAAAAAAAAAAAAAGGTGCCAGAACTCACAGATGTCATACAACCCACCTTGCCTACCCTACAAGGTTCCATCCAAAAAAGGTGCCGGAACTCCGTTCTGGGCATTCTATGACAAAAAAAAAGCCCTGGACATGTATGCCTTTTTCTGTAAATAAGCATTGAAATATTTTTCCTCTAATAATTTCATGTAGATAATTTTTAATTATTCATTATATTGAAAATATTTTTAAATTCTTACGATTTGTAGTGTGTTGTTTTGTGTACTGCCCTTTGTACATTCTGCAACTTGAATTATCTCCTTTGCATACTCCACAAGCATCTTCTACAGCACTGGAACCTAAGACATGATCACAGCCAACCACCTGCAAAAAAAGGACTCCCTTGATGCATCTAAACTTACATAACATACAGTAGTTTAATCTAAAGGTTTACAGATAAGAATCAAAATACTTCATTTTGCTGGACATTTTGGTGTATAAGAAGTCTTATGGAGAAAAAGCCTGCATCTTTTGTTTACATATTATTGCATTATGTTTATGTATTATGCCCATTGTTTACATATTTGCTTATATTTTATTAATACCACACTATTTTCATTTGTGTTACATCTAAAACATGGCTTCTCCCTCTTGCATATACTGTGATTCTTTTCAAAGTGTTTACCTGGCCCTTCTTGCCATTTTAGGCTGTCTAAATGTGAAAGAAAAATAAAAAAATATAATGCAGTGCTGAACATTTCATTTATCGTTTAATAGAAAAATAGCTAATACCTTCACCATTCCCTGCTCATTCCGAAGGACCTCACCCTACATGAGTATTTCTCTTGAGTATTTTTTTCCCCTATCTTAATTAATAGCTAAATTGGAGAAAAATATTTGAGGAAAAGGGTTTGCAGAGATGCTATTGATAGAAGGAACGGAGGCTTCACACTTGCGTTTTTTATTTTTATGCTCTTCTATGTAAAGGTTTGGAGCAGGATTTTGGACAAAGAGCTCAGCTGTTTTCTAAGTAGCCCCTACTATTAAAAATGTAGTAGTTCCACTGTTGACTATTGACTGCTTCTATGTGGTATTTTATGGTAGGTGTTCTGAAATTCTTTGAAATTGAATTGAACTCTGAATTAGTTATAAAACAGCAGTTTTTGTGAAATAAATAGGAATAACCATTAATTTGAAAGGTAAATTCTCTGTTTGTTCATAGAACTATAGAGTTAGCCCTCTGCATGCCCATAGTGCTGGTAAGGGCTATTTAAATCCAATTCCCTGCCATTGCAGGAATCCATTTTTAATTGTTTTAAATTTATGCTATACCAATTAAGGACAATAAAAATCCAAAAGCATATAACAACATTAAAGGATCAACACAATTTCAAAACTGATGAACAAAGCAATTAAAAAGTAGATAAATAAAAAAATCTTGGAAAGTAAATACAAATTAAAGCATCCCAGACACATAGCTGTCTAGAGTTTCCTTGAACACATCCAATGAAGACGAATCCATCATTGCACCTTAAATCCATTATTCTGAGTCCTGAACTCTGAATGAGAGAGAAGAGGTCTTGACCTTCTATGACATCCTTCAGGTACGTGAAGAATGCAATTACATGTGCTCAGTCATGTCTCCAAATACCCTGCTTCTTCAATCTTTCTCCACAGGACTTAGTTTATATCATTGTTGTCCTTCTCTGAGCCTATTCCAGTTTCTTAGAATTGTTCTTCAGTTGTGATGCTTAGAACCCAAAGCAGTGTACAGGTAGTCGTTGACTTATGACCATAACGGAGCCTGCAAATTTATAAATCATGAGGCCATAAGTTGAGGCACCTCTGTGACTGGACTTGATTTTATAACTTTGATTGTGGTAGTTACTTACTGAATGCCACAGTCATTAAGTGAATCCAGCAATTGTTAAGCAAATGCCACAATTTTTAAGCAAATCAATGTATTCCTATGAGTGTTTTCTTTTTGGTGGAAACCATCCAAAAAGGCCAGAAACTGGCACAAATCACAGTATTTTGCAGTCATGTGACTGGCTGTAAAGGTGAGCCAATTGCCATGTGCCTTAAAAGTGGTCATGTGATTTCAGGGGTGTGTGCAGCCGTTGGAACTCTGGAATTGGGTTGTAAATAGCTTTTGTAGGATGTACCATAACTTTGAACCATCACTAAATGACTACCTGTAAAGTGAATGGTTAATTCCCAAGAACTGGAAATTATATTTCTATTGATATAACCTAAAAGTACATTTGCCTTTTTTGTACCTATTGCACTACTGACTCATATTCTCTTTGTAGCCAATTAATATTCCAAGATTTTTTTCCTGGTATCCCCTATGTATTTGATTTAACTGAAAAACTTCATCTGATCATGGAGATTTAAGCTCTTTCAAAGTAAAAAGATATTGTCTGACCACATTTCTATCCATCTCAAGCTTCACTCCTGCCCTTCCTCCTCCTCTTCACAATTTTCTAGTGAAAGACACATTTTTTTTCTTGGAGACAGCTGAACCAATGTAGAAGTTGAGGAGCTTTGCCTTTTCTTTGTACCCTGTTATCATTTTGTCTTCTTCACTAGCAGCTGGTATATAGATTTTTGCCATTTCCTTTTATTTTGAAAATATCTATGGAAACCATTTTTGTTATTTTCAGTGTCCTTCACCAACTTCAGTTCATTTTAATTTTTTGCTTTCCTAATTCTAGCTTTATATTTGTGGGCTCCCTGTTTCCTTTGTGATTTGGCTCTATTTCTGTTTTGTAATGTTATTTTTATGCAGCCCAGAAATACAATGTCAGTTGCACAGCAATGAAGAACATGAACTGACTATGGAAAAGCAAGGACATCAGCCTGACAACCAAATGTAGGTTGGTCCGCTTTATTGTGTCCCCTGTAGCTACCTATGGTTATGAAGGTTGGACCTTTAAAAAGCAAGACAAGAAGAAAATTAACTCATTTGAGCTGCAGTGCTGGAGAAGGCTCCTGCGTATTCCTTGGATAGCAAAGGTGACTAACAAGCAAGTACTGGAGCACATAACACCAGACATGTCACTAGAAGGCAAAATAACAAAATTGCGCCTCACTTATTTTGGACATGTCATGTGAGGGAATTCATTGGAGAAAACAATTATGTTTGGAAGATTTAGTTGTAAAAAGAAACTAGGCCACCAAAGAACACGGTGGTTGGATACTATGAAAGCTGACACCAGCTAGTCCATAGAAAAACTCAAAGACATCGTGCAAGAATGGAACATATGGAGAGACCTGGCCCATAGAATCACCAAGAGTCGGACATGACTGAATGGATAACATGATCGTCAATGTTATTTTTAGAACCAAAAAGAGACTTTGGGTCAAACATTTTGGGCTGAGAGAGAATGATTGGCCAAAGATTACCCATCTGCTTTAAGCCTAAGGCAGGATTAGAACTCACAGTTTCTCAATTTCTAGCCTGGTGCCTAAACCACTACACCAAACTGACTCTGTAAATACTAATTAGAGATACGAAATGCATAGTAACAACAAAGAAAAGTACCTGATTTCATCATTACCTCACAAATACCATCAATACAAACATTGCGGCTATCCTCCGAACAGGGTGTCCCATCTTTTACTTTGTTTGATAAAGAAAAGAAGAAATCAAAGCCTTCTGCAATACAGTATAGTTTGCACAAATATTGATCTGAAATGGAAAGAGAACAAAAAGCCTTCTTTTATTTTTTCTACATCACTATTGCTGGAAGTAAAATATGAATAAACCTAAAACCACCTAAAGACTGCAAGTGATCCAATGGGACAATTTTCATAAGTCAGTTATTAGAAATTGTAAACCTGGTAACTGAAATAAATTGTGTCTTTCTGCTTTACTGATAGTTTACATTTGTGATTTTTAATACTTAAAAAAACTCTAAACAGAAGAAGGAAAATGTATAAATCAAAGGCCTGATGAAATTGAAAGCTGAGTGTTTATAACTTAAAAGATGAGAGATTTCACTTCATGTATATTTCCAAATGAAATAAGTTAGCTAAAGAAGTGCTTACATTTGGCTGGATTAAGTCCTAAATGAATGAATAAGGGCTTTTATCCTGCTTTCAGTGCTATTTATTTTAAAATAAATACATTTAAATAAGGATACATTGAAGTGTTGATTTTAAAATGCATTTGTAATTTTCAAGCTGTTGGGAAAAGGTCAAACCATTACAATGGCATTAACCAAGAAAATTATGCAAATTCATATCATGTATGTTCGGAAGAAGAATGAAAACATACTGTATGTTTCTTATATGTACATTAACAAAGCTTATGTTGTTGCCTTGCTTTCTTTTATTCTTGTTCTTTTCCTCCTATGTTATTCTTTTTCACTTTGTTCTCTTTTATTAAATAAATAAAACAGAAAAGAGAGAGAGAGAAAACATGTGCAACTGCACCTATTTTTCTCCCATTGAGATTCCTGGAAGGCAACAACTTTAACACTCCTAGATTGTGATCTTCCTTCTATGCTTTTCTTTGTGGTGGTGCATTCTAATGCATCCCAAACACTCCCTAGATAGAATGCTTAATATTAGAGGTCATCTTTATAAAATACATTCTCTTGATGTTTAACAATTAAACTTGCAAAATGAACCATTTCACAATTTAAAACAGAAATGTGTACAATCTGAAGCCCTCTGGCTGACTGCAGCTGGTCTGATTTCTTGGGGTGGGGGCTGGTCTTATCACATGTGCAATTTCATTCTTCTGACACTTTCAAACATATTTAAACTCACCTTCTACTTGAGTATATGGTTTCCACTTGTAGTGCCAGCCTCTGAACCGCTTGCTGTTGAATTCTGCACACTGAGCAGCTCTAAAGCTAATGCTGTTTGGGGGACACTTCTGAATGTTACAAAGCTTCAACATCCGAGAGGAACCTTCACAGAATTTCCCTCGATGCGAAGGTCTACAACATTAATGGAAAAACTACCTCAAATCAGTTATTAATTAATAACATAATTTTAAATAACCCAACAAGCAGTGGAAAATGCATGAGACATTCATACAGAAGAAGCTTGTGACTGAAATGTTCTTATCCCATCAGCCTGATATGCATATAATTATGATAAAAATCAGTTTTACAAAGTCATTGCTGTTTGCATAAAATTTGCACAGTTCAGCGAGAGGGGCACAGGGCAGTTCCCCATTTGCTCATATTCTGCTCACTGTTTTCCATGTGAGCATGATTCATCTAGAAATAGGCCAAAATGATTGCCCCTAATTTATCACCCAATTCACAGGCTGCTGACAGTTGGAAAATTAGCACCTTCAAGTGGTGCAATGACAGGATACTTGCTCAGGAATAAAATTTTGCATATCATTTTTCCTTGCCAGAAAACCTCTGAGAAGGACTATACAATTTTTTTTAAAAAATCTGTCAGTAATTTTCATTTTTTTTGAGAGGTGATGTTGGTGTTGCACTACATTGAGAATTTCTCTTTTCATCATGAATTGATTCTTTTTCTATGAAATGGAAAGCCATACAATTCAAGGAAAAATGATATGCAAAATTTTATTCCTGAGCATTGGTTGTAACTCATCTATTTCCACTCCAGCAAGCTCTACTATACTCACAGCACTTTCACTAAAGTATGTAATGCTATTTTGGAAACTTGGAAAGCCCAAGAAACATTATTTTTGAAATTAACACTATGTATATTCTCCAGTTAAGTATGTGTCATGTGGGGTGGGGAGAATGTGCTAAATATTCTTCAACTATTGCTCCTTATGCCAAGGAAAGTCAAGTGAGAAGCTTAGTAAAGTGGATTATGTATCATATCCTAAGTGTGCCACCTTCAACTAAAATGTAAGCATTTCCCTCTCCCTATTGTCAGTTGTGTCCTTAGCATTATCATTGTGGTGAAACTGGTCCAAAGATGTTGAGAAAGTATCCTTTCCATTCACTTATGACAGTCAGATGGAGAATGGATAAAGCTCTGCCAATTTCAGTATATATATATATATATATCTTTTTCAAAACTGGCTGATCTGATCTGAGAAGGTTGAGAAAGGAGACTGAAGTGGCAGAGCTTTTCTATGTGAGAGATACTTAAATAAATAAAAGCAATATGGCTGGGTCTGCTGAACAGATCAAATTTTTAATGATGCATACCATAAAATTAAATGAAGCAGACTCCTGAATGATGGATTGGAATGCACCCCTTGCAAATGCAAATAGAAATGCAACTTTTAAATAACTGCTCGTGGAACATCCTCTGCAAAGTTAAAGATTTTTTGGGAGCCTATCTCTGTGTATTTTAATTCTGAACGTACATGAGTGCCTATTTATTCTAATTCATGTTCACAAGTAGCAATGCATGTGCAGAGCAATGGACAGTGCTGGGCGTTTAACTAAGGATAGAAACTCATATTTAAAATTATGGGATATATAACAGGGATTCATTTGAGTAGATTTTCAACACAAGAATTTAGTTTCAAGGACCAACAATAAATTTGTAATTCTGTGCATCAATGATTTGTATGCCTGCTTAGTCATCTTCTCAGATATTAACTTCAAGTCCTTCAGTTTCCCTACTGCTTTTTATTTTTGAACAAAACAGGATTACTTCAAATTAAAGTTTCTCCCTTTACAAGCCTTCAAATAAAACATTCTCTTCTGCACAAGAGGATGAATAAGCTATAAGCTCTTCTGCACACGGCCAGATGAATAAGCTATAAATTCAACAAACAAATAGATCCAGTGCATCTTTTGGAAGTCCAGTGTTGTGTCCTAATCCTGGGCTACTTTTAAAAACAATTGCTCTTACCATAAATAGTTATGATTAGCTTTAACAATTTAGATTGCATCTCAAAGTGCTTAGACCCGAAACAAGGTAATACTTAGTCACCTTGGATTAGAACAGTTTCGTTCTCGATGAGATATACCTCCGCCACAGGTTCTAGAACAGGATGACCAGTTAGACCACTCAGACCAATGTCCATGGATTGGTTTCGGTCCTTCATCACCATATTTCACACATTGGCCGCCACGGCACCACTATAACATACAACAAATTTGTTTGGGTGAGAGTAAGCCATTATTAATAGACGGTGAATTCAAATAATATAGGGCTTATAAGTACTTCGAATTATCTTGGAAACAAAATGGGGGCCTCTGACACTGAACAGTAATGGAATAATATCATACTATAAGCATCTGATAGCAGACTAGTTACTGCATTCAGGAGTAATTGCAGATTTTGGACTTTTTTTGAGATGGCTCAACTTAAAGTGAATTAAGTGGTTTTGGCTATGCAATACATCGATGTAATAGTGAAAAAATTACAATAAGCCCAGCTTACTACCCAATTTATAATTATCAGGCAAAAATGCCCAGCCAACTTTATTTGGGCTCAGAAGCTAGGCAAGGTTGGGTCTGGTGAACTTTGCCAGGTGGAAAACTAGCTTGGCAAATCACTTCCAGACGGTTACCAAGAATATTAATGAACGCTGTTCCTGAAATCACTAGGAGTTAAGCTTAATTTAAAGAAGAGTTTACTTTTAAGTTACAATCAACATGCAAGTAAGGTAATCCTACATCTCTAATAAACATACAGATAAGATGCAATTATTTTCATACATCTTTCCCCCACTCATTGGATTTTTGCAATGAGGTGGACTTTTCAAAGAACAAGGGTTTTAAAAGTAAATCAATCAATCAATCAATCAATCAATCAATCAATCAATCAATCAATCTTATTTGTAAAGCCTGCAGTCTAATCTAGGCTGGATTTACAGCATTTGAGTTGTTAATGTTATCTGTGTACAATCATAAACAAAACTCTCCAATATTAAGTATCTAACATTAAAAACAACAGTTCATAGCAAAAGCTAAACATACAATAACTTCATTTTGTTTGTATCCCAACTATTACTACAGTACAACATTTGATAATTGTTATACAAATTTTGGAGTAGTGATAAATTTAGTAATTAAATTAGTTTATGGAGATAATACAGTTAGAGGGGATATTAACTATGATCTCCAAGAATATGTAGCAATTCAAAACTACTGATTCAATTTCAGTGACTGAATATAAACAACTTGGCAGAGGATGTTAAATAAAACTCCCCGTTGACACCCCTGAGGGTGAAGCATTAATATATGCAGTTTAAACACTCTTTATTTGAAGACACACAAATGTTGTAAAAGAATTTGAGGGTATTAAGAGGCAGATGCATGTCTAATTGTAATGAATAGAGTATCAACTCTATTCCTTGCATATCACAATCCAAGGCTCTCTACTTGACTTAAATCCAAGTTTTGCCTAGATCCAGCAGAGATCTTAATAATAAATCTGCAACAAGCCAAATCAAATATAATTTGATTTTTCCATAAGCCTGTCTATCAGTAGACACAGGCCCAAGGACAAATTTCTACACTGCTCCTTCTGTCTAGAATTAGTGGGAATAAATAACAATGTACTTATTATTAGAAAAGTCAGGAACCAGATAAATTACATTTGGATGGTTTACAGAAGCCCAGCCATTGTTGTGAAACACAATAAGTCTCCTGGAAGTCCTAAGGCACATTGTTTCAATGGCCTTTAATGCCCTTTCATGTGCTTGATGCCATGATGGAGTAGTAGGAAGGGGAATAAGTGAAAACAAAGACTTTTCTTTTTAAAAAATAATGGTTGCTCATGTATGGTAAATTTCATTTTAGGTATATACAAAAACACATCACATGTGAAGAAGTCCTCTGACCATGCAATTATTAAAAAGATAACAGTTTCTAAACCAGTTTCTAATTAATTTCTTGCTATGAAGTGGTTCTTTATAATAATTATACAGTTCTTTATAATGATTATACATGTTTGCAAATGGGGGAAGGCACTTCACTCTTAATCAGTTTCCTAAGCAGAACAAAGCCCTCAGTCAGTTATAGGAGACATTTTATATAATCATTTTGTTAATTTTCAGGCATCATTTTACTCAAGTAGGCATTTTTTTGGGGGGGGGGGAGGTGGAAGGAGCTGAAAGCTTTAGAGCAACTTGTGCTAGCCTCTTCCTGGTATGCCCACAACAGGCATGAAGTCATGTGACAAAAGATACATAGACTAGAATAAAAGTCTCTGCTCTACCACTTTTCTCCTCTTCGTGCATTTGTGATAGAACATGAAAAAGACATTGATTTATTTATTATTTCTTTATTTTATTATTTATTTATTTTATATGTCATGTTTCTAGACTGCCCATCTCTCTCAAGGATGGGTTTACATGTAAACATAATAAATAGCAAATATTAATACAAATGTTGGCTGCTAAACATAATCTTAATATATGCATTATGTTTGGTGATATGTCTATGTTGAGCAAGTACTTCTCATCAACATTCAAAAAATTGAAAAGTTCTATACTTAATTTCTAAATTTAAAAGGTTTTGAAAAGCTAGGTTCGTTTAAACTGATTTATTACAATTCAGAATTCCTGCTTCAGCTGAGCTATAACTAAAAACATGAGATGCTTGGGGTTTAGTTCATTTTTGCAAGAAGATTTATGTTTTCCTCTGAGATACCTGGTCTTTGTGACAAACTACAGCATGTCCAAGGTCACACAGCTTGTCCAGTAGACAAAACAATAAAAACTTCATTTCTTTTCACCATATCCACACCTTCATTTGAGATGTTACTGCCATTGTCTCAACTTCAGTCATGTTTGGTATAAAAATAGATGACTATAGTGGTCAATGTTGATTTTAATTTCTGTATCTTTATTATTATTCCTAAACTTAATGCCCAGAATGTCAATTCTGGGAAGCGAGAATTGAAAACTAGTACTCCTGTATATATCGCTACTACTAAAATGAAATTATTGTTGGTGCACATTATTTTTCTTGAAGACAAATACCTTGGTATGCAACAAACACATAAATGTCTTACTGTATATTATCTAACTTTTCCCTATGCTAAGAATATAAAAAGATAAGCATTTTTAAAATGGCAATAAGTGCATCAAAACAACAACAATTGGGAAAAACAATTCAAATGTACATTCATTTTTTATGGTCTTTGACTACTCAGTACTCTTGTCAACTACTTAAAGAGTTATTTCAGTTTAAATATTTCAGACTTTAGATCTCAGTCTAAAAGAGTCTTGGTGCTACTATCAATATCTATATTTCACTTTCCTTTTAGAAAGAAATCTTAGCTGGCAATGATAAAAGAGAGTTAAATCTTAGAAAATATCTATGTCTCATACGGTTGGTTGAGAATTTAGGGCGTTGAAGACTCAACACATCTGGAGATTACCAGATTGAAAACGCTGGAATAGTTCATTGCAGTCAGATGTTGACTAGAGTTGATTGCCTTTAGACCACGGGTGTCAAACTCGCCGCGTCAAGTGACGTGTCTCAACGTATCATGACTTTTTTTGCATTGCTGGAGCTGGGGTGGGCGCGGCCTCCATATGACATCCCTGCTTTAACCATTATTTTCTGTTTAAGTTTGTCTTGTCACCTGTAATTTCCTCATATTAATGAATGAATGTTTGGTTCATTAATACATTAACTTGAACAATATGGTTCCTATCATCTTGTGCTTCTTTCATGCTATTTCTTGCATGATGTACAATAAAACATATATAATATAAAATAGTATATAAAATTAAAAAGTGAGAGTTAAAATTTTAGAATTAAAATGTTTAAAAAATTATAAAAATTACATAATTATTATAATTTTGTTTTTATTTTGAAAAACAGAACATGAAAAAGTATTTCCTAGAGAATTGTATCAAATATAGAGTGCATTTTAAAAACTGTATGTGAAAAAGAGCATACCCTTAGGAACAGGAATATAAAATTGTGTAATATGTAATAATATGCAATAATATGTATATATGGAATATAAAATGAATACATTATGGAAAAATTTCTATATAATAATTGCTGAATGTTCTGTTTCTTGATATGTAACCCACATTGACACTGATGAATTATATTGATATAACTGCCTCAACCACATTTGCACCAACCCATATGTTCCTATCTTCATCCATTACTTGTAGTAATAATTTCTAGGTACTGAAAAGATAATAATCTTTTATTTCCAGATATACAGTAAGTATTGACTAAATGCTTTCTGCCTCTTATCCATGAAATGAATTAGTTTATATGTGAAATAAAAAAGGCTCTCCCTTAAAAGTCAAAAAAGAAAAGAGTGAATATGGCCTATTGTATTGTACATCGTGATAGTTTTAGAAGGTAAAGCGTTAATGTTATACTAGAAATTAATGGTTTATTTGCTGAGAGTGAGTTTCATCTTACCGGTTGAAGCTGGCTATCAAGGACTTAGGTCTGAAGCAGCTCTATATCTCAAATTCTATCCCATAAGCTTCACAATATAAATGTGAGATTTTTCCATGCATTAGACAAAGTGGATAACATCAACACACATCAGCTAAATCAGGAAGATCTTTTTAATCTTGCCGTATATGCTTAAGCATCAGATAATATATACATATGAGATAAGTTAACAACAGAAGGAGCTGGGGGTGGACCATGATTCTATTTTATTCACTTTGCAGGAAAAGACATGTTTCTTTCACAAAAATAAGTCATTTAATATATTCTGTGTTTTTTTATTTTTTAACCATTGTTGGGAATCTTTTTGATCCTGGATAGAGATAATAAATCATGCAGAAAAGCAGGATTTTGCATGTGTATCAGATTGAATTTGAATCTGATGCACACCTGAATGGGTGCTGTTTGTTATGCTCAGTGTTTGTTTTGTTGTATATTCAAAAGGACGCCTTCTAAAAAGAGTATAGAGTATTTGAGTATGCATTTAGGTGGACACAGCAGCCTGCTTCCATATTAGATTCCTGGCTTTCCCCCCACTTGGACCAGGGGACTGTGTTTAAAATCTTATATTTCAAAGAGACTATTTACAGTCATCTTGTCAGATTTTATGTTATTGTTCTAGATTGTATCCCCTTATATTTATGAGAATGATTTATGGCAAGTGACATGTTAAAAATAGTAAATGTGCACATAATAAAGAAAGCAAAGAGATCGTGCAAGCTATCTGATTTATAAATGAAGTCGTTTGTTTGAGATTAATTGTTCCTGTCTGTTATTCTTGGACAAACACACACACTCACACACAGCACATCTCTTGGGACTGTCAGTCAGGATTACACCCCATTTAACCTAAAAGTACACACTGGCTTTGATGTGAAAGTTTAAACTGAGTCTGTCTGCATTCAACTTGACATGTTCCTTGTTTATGATATATCCTTGAAATCTTGTCTGGAGTCAAATGACCCTATAGTTTGGTTTGGAAAAAGAGCCTGATATGATATTTCTTCTTCTAAGAACTGAAGCTAAAAATAATCGTAATGAAAACGATTGTCTGCTTTGAGATAGGCAACCTGTTACTCTCTCTATGATAATGAACTACATCTTGCATTACTGCTGCTCATTGACTATACTATATGTAGATGATGGATACTGGAGTCCAGCAACTTCTGAAGGGTAAAAATCTCCTATCCCACTGTTTGTAACAATGTTTACGCCTCACAAATTTAATTTTTTTTAATCTGTCTATTCTGAGAGGCAGTGTTTGCAGCTTGTTGCAGTTACACAGCATGATTCTGTCTGTTATTATTTAATTCACACAAATAATATTTTTGCAGATGGTTTTGTAACGCCATGATGGAAAGAAGTTTTTTATTTTTTGTTCTCTGCTGTAATCTTGGTACAGATCAGCTCTCCACATCTGCTACTTGCATTAGAATGAAAACCTCCACACATGTAAACAGAAGCTTCTTCTGGAATAAATTGCAAGTTTAAGACTCCCCCAACCCTCTGCCAGCTCCCCTTGTTTATCTGGGTCCAATCAGGGTTAAACTACTTACATCTGATATTTGATGCTGAATTATTGAGAATTACTGGGAGAATGCTACTAAATTTAACTAAGAGTAGAAGAAGCCATTTGAGATAGGCACACAGAAAAAAGATAGACAGACAGGTAGGCAGGAAGGAAAAGCTGAGAGATGGGATTGCAGAGAGGTTTCTGTCCTAAAGCAAGAGAAGGAGGATATGGAATTTGTGGGATATGGGGTTCTTTGGAAAAGAAGGACGACACAGGTGCAAAATTAGATGGAGATAAGTTAGGAAAAGATAGAGTGAATTAATAGCTAAATAACTTCAGAGAGATCTGTAATGGTGCCAAAAAAAACCATGGCAAATAACATGTAGAGAAAAGGGTATATAAGAGGGAAGAAGTTGGGGGATTGAGTGCTAACACTGAACGGATTAAAGAGAGGGGAAGAATTGTTAAATGAAAAGAAAGAAATTGATATTATTGTGACATAGCTCTCTTGAATAAGCAATGTATAAAAAAGAATCTTCAGAGCCACTGATGGATTGGGCAGAATATAAGATGTTTAAATAAAAACCCAAACAGATGCTTATCATTTGATTATTCCAGACTTCTTCTCATGCAGTTTTTCTTTGAGAAACTATTCTTTGTTCCACAAAGCCTGGGATTAATCAGTGATAAGATATTCATAGAAGTGTTCTTTCACCAAAAATGACCGGAAGCCAACTAGAGCTTATGGAATTAAGAGGATGTTTAAACTTTCTTTCGATGTGACTTCCAAGATCACATGAGGATACTCAGGACCATAACCTGATCCCAAGGGTGCAGTTATTCTAATAAAATGATTTCCCATACAACCTAGTGACCTAGTCTATCCTTTGGGGAAGACCAAACATTCTATCAGCTGTAGGAAAGCCTAACCAGCATCTTACATTTTTAATAGTGGCATTACTGAGGAAAGAGGATTTCAGTATTTAATAATCCATGAATTATGAACCTGCAGGTCTGGTTCTTCAATACATCAAATAATTAAAAGAATACTAATTATGCATAGGATAATATGAAAAGCTCTAGGCAACGAAAGGAACAAACATACCGGTATATCTAAATTCAAATGATTCAGATGTACTAAAAGTGATTAACAAATATTAAATGCCTTTATATCTTAGCAGACGTGGCCAAAAAAATATTCAATTGAATTCAGTTCAATTAAAATAATGATGCAGGGCATTTTATTTCCCATTTCAACTCACTTTCATCATAACTTCCATTTCATAGCTTCCACCATTTATTTATATAAATAACATCTATCAAATATTTTCTTACCATATCGTAACCACAGATTGTACCTTCTGCAGCTGGCATAAATTTGGTTTCACATTTTCTACCAACTCGATGGCACCACAATGCTTTACAAATATCCTAGTGGAGTAAAAGAGTAGATGGAAAAATAGCAATAACAGAAATACTGCATTAAGAATAGTTAGAACAAAAAATGGCTTATAGAAGGAAAGCAAAGTCATGCTCTTAGTAAGTACATACCATACAATGTCTACATACAGAATTGTTTTTTTCTTGTCTATCTTAAAACAGGACAAGAACTACATGGAGGGGCAACAATGGCAATGACAGAACTTCTGCATGTATAACATCCATGGAATTTTAATTCCCTGATGACAAGAAATGTTATTGAAACACAGATGGACCTTGACTTACAATAGTGCATTAACTGACTGTTTGAAGTTACAGTGGCACTCAAAAAAGTGACTTATGACTGTTTTTCTCACAACCATTGCAGCATCCCAGGGTCACATGATCAAAATTCAGATGCTTGGCAACTGATTCATATTTATGACGGCTGCAGGGTCCCAGGGTTACATGATAATCTTTTACGACCTTCTGACAAGCAAAGTCAATGGGGAAGCCAGAGTCACTTAAAAACCGTATTACTAACTTAACAATTGCAGTGATTCATTTAACAATGATGGCAAGGAAGGTCGTAAAATGGGGCAAAACTCAGTTAACAACTGTGTCACCTAGCTACAGAAATGTTGGGCTCAGTTGTGCTTGTAAGTTGAGGACTACATGTAAACGAGTTTTCTATCCAAATATTGTATATAGGATCAATACAAATGTTTCAGATCAAACCAAGAGATTCTTTCTGGATTTCTATCCCACAAAGCTATTAGGAAAGGAGTTTCCCCAGGGATGTCAATCCAACTTTGGATTGCTCTTTCCCAGGACAGTGCTTATTTCAAGGCCTTTTCCAACACAAATGAATACTTTGGAAAATCTCAGACTGTTAGCTAGTTTTTATTTTCTCTGTCATTATTGCACTATTTTAAGCTGATCTAAAAACTAGTTTGAATGGGGAAGTCATATGAAATCTGATAGTATGTATCAGATTTATTTATGCAAATAAATATATAAATAAATAAGTTATTTAAATCAAAATCAGTTTATTAATTTCTAATCTGGGTAGAATAATAGTTCATGATAATTAGGAGAGTCACTATTTTCAAACTAAGGTATCTCACACTTTCCTGTGGGAATAAAATGAGGAAGAAGATCTAATAATACACATACATTATTCTGAGCCCCTAGATCGGGGTGTGTGTGTGTGTCAAACTCGCAATGTCACATGTCGTATCGTGACATATCGCAACTTTTTTTCCATTGCCAGCAATGGGGTGGGCATGGTTTCGCCAGGATGCATCTGGCCCATGGGATGGCAGTTTGACACCCTTGCCCTAGATTAAACAATTTGCTAAATTTAATCTAGAATAAGACTAGATTATAGATAGATAGATAGATAGATAGATAGATAGATAGATAGATAGATAGATAGATATAGATAGATAGATAGATAGATAGATAGATAGATAGATAGATATACCTTTTTAAAGTCCATCATGCATAGCTTAGCTTTTTCTCCAAACTGCCATTTGCATTGAATAGTTGCATCATAAAGTTCCCCTGGAAGTTTCTCTGGATACTTGTATTCCTGCACAGGTTTAGGTTGATCAGCAAGACATAAGGACTGAGGAGAGCTAAAGAGATCCAAACAAGACATCTTTGGTTATATCACATTCAGATTTAACAGTGACTCTTGTAATAGCTAGTCATTTCTGAAAGAGGACAGTTTTAGATCACAAACTGCATAGAAATTCAGTATAACATGATATCAGCCTTCCAAGATAGACCGGTCCAGGAAACCAATGACATATAGGTAGTACTACTTTTATTCTAAAACTATAATAAGAGAATCTTGCAAGTCTTAGTGTGCTTTCCCCTTTAACCCTTTATCTTGTGAAAACTAGGGAGGGGCTTTTCTGAGATATTTACTCATGTTACCTTCTTGGTTCAGGTTCACACCCCTTTTATCTAATCATTGCCTTTCTCCTGTCCTTCAAGAACATTTCCTCTGCCTTCTACACATGTCCATTAAAAGGAAGGAAGCAGGAATAGGAGGCAGGCAAGTTTGGGATGAGGCATATGTAGAAGATGTATGTTTTTCTGCTAAATGACTCAGATCAATGATGGAATTTTCCAAATAGGAGAAAGAAAAACTAGACCTTCGATTTAGACTTCTTAGTTGTTTTGCAATTATTATAAAACTCACACTTATAGCTGCCATTAACACAGAGCTAAAATATATATTTATTTATACATAATAAATATGAGTCTTCTCCATCTGCGGGACTAAAATCCCATGTTGGGTGGCTGAGGACATTTATACTTGTAGTTCAACTCATATGGAGAATTCCCAGGAAAGATTGGAGGCATGCAGTCTCCTCCCTCATATGTTCCTTGAATGCATTAACCAAATTCCTGCAATATGTTCTTTGCTCCCAGAAAATAAACTGAGGAAATGTAATCCATCAATCCATTCTATATGGACTATATAGAATCATACTAAATTTATCACCTTGTGTAATCTGAAACGCTGAGTCTGAAACTCACCAGATCTCACTGCATGTATATCGGTACCTACAGCTTTCTATAATGAAACTTTCCCATTTTAAGGGACAAAAGCAACTTTCTCAGACCTTATGCTTTTTCCTCACTGAAATCACTCACTTGGCACATGTACCTTAGAAATGTGTAGAGATATTGACGACTACAAGCTGACCAGGAGAAGACTCCATTGTGTCCTGCTAGTGTGGGTGACATAATATTACCTTCAGACTTTTTGCAAATATTTCCTTCTCCATCATGGACCATGCCAAAGCTGTAAGAGGCAAAATGTTAACTTTATACCTTTACAAATACTGTCTCATAATGCCAGAATTTAAATTGAGCAGAAGAGGAATATTAACTATTGTTTTCAGTATTGTGCATAATCTTAATCTGGGTATACTTTAGAAACACAATGATTTTCCAATACATTTCTAGGGGCCCTTTAAACATTCTATCTAAATAATTTTATTCAGCATAAACCTAGAGCTTAGACTACATAGTTTCATATATGTTTATCAATTTTTGTGTTTTTACAGGCTATAAATAATTTTAGGAAGGAAAGAATTTAGGTAGACAAACATATTGATTTATTTGCACCTACACAACTGTAACCTGCATTAAGTGGGCTGGCTTAATTTGTTTAATAATATGCATTGGATCCTAAAACCTGATATCCAATGGTGTATTTAATGAGGGTTAACTGCTGGTGATTGCAAAATACATTAAGTCACAGACAGACGAGATTATGGCTTAAAACACTTTCTATACGCTAGCACAGATACAATGGCACAGGAACTGTGCATACAACTACAAGTTGTCATACTTTTTTGCTTTGTTCTGCAATAAAGCTGTGGGTGTAAGAGACAGAGATTTTACATATTGATAAAGTATAACAATTGAATGAATTATATTTTTTTAAAAAAATCAGTAAAAATTTTAAGATATGTTACTGAGGTGTTTATAACAGATGTCACTTGCAAATTATAGCCATGAGCCAGAATCTATAGTTTAAATAGGATTTTTAATATTTTAGTTATAGCCACTGCAGCCACCCTAAAGGACAACAGTAAATGCTAAGAAGGTGGAACATGGGGCAGATTAATAGCCTCAGTATTTTTCTTTTTATACTTAAAGATCAAACTGTGATTAAAATGTAAGCAGTAATCCTAGTTATTGGAAATCATAGCATGGTTGGATATCTAAAAGAATCATCTATTGGTCATTTTTTGGCCGGAAAGAATTTAAGATTAAAACTCTTTCGTTTTTCCAAAAACAGGTTGACAAACTTACTTATGTCCAGATTCATGAGCAACAGTAAAAGCAAGTCCAAGTCCAGTATCTTCATTAATAGTGCAGCTGCGGTATTTGCTGCACATGCCACTTATGGGTGCAAATCCTGGAGAGTTTAAGTGAAAAAAGATTAAACAGCATGCCTTAGGAAAAGAATTGGGATTAGACAATTAAGGTGGAAAGAGACTCCTCCCTTTTTTAATCACAAAAGTGCTAAAATTTAATATAACCATTGGGTTTGATTCACCTATTTATTTCCTGCAATCCCTAGAAGCTTCAACTGAGATGTATTACAAGTCCCAATGATGCATTACAAACCAGATTTGTCTTTGAGTAGAAAGATGCTGGAGCAAATTATTCTCATTTATTAATAAGATTTGTGTCCTTTCCTATCAGATATTGCTACTCCAAGTAGCATCACAAGGAGAACAAGAAGATATCTCTATGTACTTGACATTATTTAGCCTCTGTTTTGAACTGCAATCACTGGATTGTTATCCTTGTACAAAGGTATAAACATATTTTAAATAATGGGAATACTGCTTTTCTCATCATCTAAGCATCAGGACTTAGATGATATCTAAGTTCTGCAGATTGTAGGTATTTAGGACCTGCATTTGAAGATATTAGTCTTGCCAAAGGCTCCTTGGTGCATTTGTGGTCCAATGCAAGCAAAAAAAAAAAAAAAAAAGACTTACCTAAAGTATCACAAGGCTCATTTTTCCAGGAACAGATGTCAAAGCCAGTCAGTAAAATTGCATGGTCGTGGCGGCTGCCATCCTTTCCCATCAGCCCAGACTGCCACTGACAAAAGCTACTCAGGGTATGGTCAGCATGGTGATTAATCACAAGGCCTGGCTGCAGATAAGTCAAACAAAAGAGCACCTCCGCTCAGTTTTTTTTTTAATTGGAAAGTAAAAATGAGCAGGGATTTTTTTTTTTAAAAAAAAATACAGTTTGCAACTGAATAAAAACAGACCAGCACTTTGGGGCAAGATTTGAGAAACAACAGAACACCAATATTTTTCTTCTACAAAAACAGCTTAGACAAAATAAATTGATCTCCCACGCTTTGGTCTACTTTGCAAAATCAACTTGACATTTTTAGGAACTTCAAAGACCTATTGTTAATGTAAACTCATTAGAGAAAGGGTTGTATTGCCTAATGCAACTCACCAGCCAAGGCCAGGCAATCCATCAGAGCCTTCATACAGGAGTTCTTTCTAGGACTGGAAAACCAATATATTTATCAAGCACTTAGTAAAGTACCAGACCTGCCTAGCAAAAGTATTTGCCTTGGATGCACCCAGATTGGTAGGCCTGGTTTGCATCCTGCCAAGTGATCAATAAACAATGAGCATTGATTACTATTGCCCAAACTCTCTTCAGCTGATTCACTAACTCTCTGTTGTGGCTTATCCAGTGGGTCGATATGGCATCTTGGAACATAGAATATTGTATTTGTTGTTTTCTCTTTCCGATATTGCAAGTTAGCAACAGTGTTTCCCACTAGAACCAGAGAAACAAGAGTATAGAGTAGTATTTTTAAATCGCAGCCACTGGCTTCACCAAATGATGTAATGCTAATAAGGAAAGGAAAAGGAAAGGAGTCCGTGCAGATTTTACTCCGCTAGTCATTGCTGACTATAGGGGCCGGCACTCATCTCCTTTTCAAGGCCATTGGGCCAGTGCTGTCCAAAGACATTTCTGAGGTCACGTGGCCAGCATGACATGAGGTGCTGTTTCCTCTCCATCAAAGTTGTACCTATTTATCTACTCACATTTGCATCCTTTCAAATTGCTAGGTGAGCAGGAGCTAGGCAAAAATGGGCTCTCACCCCTTTGTACAACTCTCGGGTCTCAAACCTGGGCTGTCGGCTTTCCAGCCGACAAGCCCAGCATCTTAACCACTGAACCACTGCATCACCCAGTACTAATAAAGATTATGAAAAATATGATTACAAGAGATAATAAATATGGAATTCTAGAATCTTTATTATTTTTACAAGATTAGTGGCAAATCTTCACTTTCCTCAATTAAAAAAAAACCTGTTCCACCATTTTCGGATATTTTCCAGAAACTTCCTGCAGAAAACATTTTGACTTTCCAAAGTCATAATTTCATCCTTGGAATTACCAGACCCCAACAGATTCTAATTCTTTGTTAGGTAATTATATATGCACAGTGAGGTTTGCGATAGGTACAGTTTACCTGGATTGCAATGGACTATTTGCTTTCTCCTTGGAAATCTAAATAATACATTTTTGATCGATAAGGAATTTCCAGCATTCACCTATAATTTTCATAGTAGTGGAGAAGGGACCATGCTCCCAAAAACGGAGTATCACAGTATCCTGTATATGGCTAGATGGCAAAGAAATGTTGAGATTAGGACTGCCAGATAGGGTGGTGCTAATTCCTCTATGCTTGCTTGTACTCATGATTCAGGTTTGTGAAATAGCTCTCAAAAACAATGTTAAGAAATCAGGTACCTCCATTTGTTTAGGATATCACCCTTCACAGCTGATGGCTGACTATGGTATTTAAAGCTATTCAGGTTTTATTCCAAAAACTCTGGAAGAAAAACCTACTGGGTTTAAGATTACTCTTCTCTTCTCTCTTTGCTGCTGTTCTGTATACCTAAATACCTGAAATATCTGTGATTAGAAGAGGAGTGTTGAATGCAGAGAGGATATATGAAGCCATTTCCATCTTCTTCTTTAATACTGAAGCAAGATGACTGGCTATGTGGAGAAGAGGTGAAGTGAACTTCATTTTATCTAGGAATTTTGTTCAAATATCTTGGAAAGCATTATTGCATAAATGTGGTTAATGTCTGTATTTATGAATAAGTTATAAGAAAGAAATTTTTTATGAAGCGTTAATTAACTTTAAAGGCTAGAATTCCAATAAGACAGATTGACATGTCTGGACACTTTATTGATATTTTTGTACCTATTCAAGCCCTTGGTACTTATGAAATAAGCCTTTTGAGAAACATGATGATATACTGTATCTCTGTATCAGCCACTAAGAGCTCTTAAAGGTTGGCCACATCTATTGCTGGATCTTTTCCACCATATTAGCATAATGTAATTTATACAGCAAAATAAGTTGTTTCCCAAATGTGTCAACTACCAAAGCATCAAGTCCAAAATGTATGGTTTCTGAGCATTAGATTAAAGCATAGACACTGAATCATAAATTAATCCAGAAGACACACCTCACTTTAGCAAAGAATGTCAAATAAATATTTAATGTCTTTATAGGGAGGGAGATAGAGAAATCTCTGAAGAGATTATCATCTATAGTCTGTCCAATGCTATTTCTTTCTCTTAGAATAACATGTAAAGAGAAAAATTAGGGAAAAACAATGAGAAAGATCCGCCCAAAGGCATTTTCCGATATACAATTCTAAGTGATTAATTAATTCAAAGCTGAACTGTAAAATGTGGTTGGTTTTAAACTGTAAGTTTTTTCCCATTTGCTAGTTAATTTTTAGCTCCTTTTGCTTTGTTTATATGATCAATAGTGCACAAATATGGTTATGGATAGTCTTAAAAGCAACAGAATAGCAAGCAAAAGATTTAGAGAAGTAGCACTTCCAAGCCAGAGATATAAAGGAAAATTATGTCACAGGTGTAAGATCAAAAGATTATTCTTCCTACTTTTTCAGGTTGGACAGGGTCCAAGCATGAAAATCTAAACATTCAGTGTAATTAAGCTGTCACATTAGGAACCTGATCGCTCAGCACATAAAATGAAGCATTACATTGCTAGTAGAGTTTTCTACTACACAGGAGTTTGGAATCAATTCAAAAGAAAAAAAAAGGAAGGAGAGAAATAAATGATGGGAAAATAGACTTTAATATACCATCAACACTGTTGTAACCACTGGAGTGATGATAATCTTGAGTTTTTCTTTCATGGCTTAACAAGGAAAGGATGATCCCTCAAACTAACACGTTTTAGTGCCTTCAAGTATTTCATTGGATGCTCCAGAAATGCGCTCAGTATAAAAATGTTCAGTCAATGGAAGAAGATAAAAAGTTCTGGCTTTTCTTTTACCATAAAACATGTCTCCTGGTGGGGCTGTGCATATATAGTCCTTCAATTGCAACTGAATAGTAACCATGAACTTATTCTTTCCTCATTAATATGCAGATTTTTCCTTCATGTTTGTATCTGGCCGTAGCGTTGTAATAAATTTGAAATTCCTTCATGCTTGTGATGCTACCATGGTTAATCATGATTCATGACAACTATGAAACATGATTAACAATTCTGGTTCAAACCAGTCCAGAAGTGGCAATCTCTCATATCCGAGAATGAGAGAGGCCAAAATAGTCCTTGAAATGAGGAGGAACTCTGAGTGAACTGAGCTAGAAGTCTTGAATCATGCAACGTTTCTGCCAGAGAAGCCTATCAGTCTGACTGGTTCTCTGGGTGGATATAGGGTTGCCAGGTCTGCTTCCAAAAAATAGCGGACAAGCGGGGTGGGGGTTAAGTAGTAAAAAAAGTAGACTGTACAGCTTTAGATTACGTACCATTTCATCATAAAGCTTTTGAATAAAAAAAATGTCCACTATTTTGTGAAAAAAAATAGTGAACATAATGTGAAAAAAGTGGACTGTCCACTCAAATAGTGGACACCTGGCAACCCTAGGTGGATACCACTTCCGGAAGTCCATTCTGGGCCTGGCCAACAAAAAATTAGTTACCGGTTCTGCTGAAGTGGTGTGAACCGGCTGAATCCCACCACTGAGTCTGACCCACTCTGTCAACCAATTCTGAATCATAACATGATTCTATCACCTCTACAATATTCCAACGTAAATGTGCATTTTTTTTGTCTTTTCAGAGAAACAGTCTTACCTGGTGAAATGTGCATTCCCTTTCCCCCAATTGTCTCTCCCTTTGGAACTTGACCCCTGCCCTGATGTTCTCTGTTTCCCTCTAGCTATGCTGAATTTCAGTTGCAGCTTTTGACACTGGATACCTTGCTTGACTGTTATTGCTTACACAAATTAACTCTTCTTTTTGCTAAGGGCTGCCCTATTCACCTCTGGCCTCACTGGATTGAAATCTAGTTCTCTCTGAACTTTGGCTACATAGAATCTGACCTGGGTTAATCCCTGAGAGAATGGCTCTTCATACAAGACACAAAGCCATACTGAGGTTTGTCTGTTCCTGGCTTTACTGGATGTGAAATATCACACATTGTAGTTTAGCTAGAGGTGTGAATCAGTCCCTAATTATTTGTTGACCTGTGGTTAAAAAGATTCTGGCTAAACACTTCTGTCAAGCAGCCAATGTGTGATGCTGTGGTCTGGCCCAGATCCTTGTTAAGCAATTTTGCTTCTAAATCCATACTTCTATGAGAGAAGAGCCAAGCAGCTTAATTTGATCTGTCATAATGGGACTCCTTTACCCTGAAAGCACTTAAAAATTAGTTTTCCATAGCCCTGACAAGGATCCTGGCCTCTTCCTTTCCAACTGTCCATTGCTCAGAGGAATGATCTAGTGTAGCCAAGGAGATGGGAGCTATGTCCATACCATACTTGAAACCTTGCCTCCGATTTGAAAAGAAGATTACATTTGGCCTCAACTGGGAAGTGGATGAAGCATTAAGCTTGCAGCTTCCCCGAGAACGAGGATCAAGTTTCAATACCAAATATTCAGGATAAAAAAGAAGGCAAGTTCTTATGATGGGAATGAGTAATTTGAAACATACAAATTAATTATACAACATAATTGGGGTGTTAAAAGGTAGATGACATGTAGGCAAAACAAAAATGTATGGATGAAATAGAATGGGAGGGAGGGTCATGATTACACCTGTGGAATAAATAAATAAATGACCATTTATGATTTTCTCCACCTAAGCGCTTAAAAATGTACAAATATATTGGTTGTCCTGCCCATTGATAGCTTATTTACTTATACATATAAATATGCACACACCCACACACCCATTGTATAGAAGTGTTCTCATCACATTATATCTGCACACAAAACTAATAAGCTCAATCCTGAACATACTTTTTCATATGTTTATTCTCTTTAAATTTACATTTGCATAAAGATAAATACAACATTGTACAAATACTACAATGATAAAAGATAATTTCTCTGAAGCTGCCTTACAGCATGCATTTCTAAAAATTGTGATTTGACACATATGGCAGGCACCAAGTTAAGAAAAGATTGGTTTAATCTTATAATGCTACTCAGATGCTTCTGCACTTATGTCAAGAATTTAATCCAAGATCATGATTAAAAATCAAGTTTAATTTACTTTAAAATATTTAATACGCTATACCTGCTCTTCTTCCAAAAGTATCAAGCCAACAACTGCAATGTTGATATTACCTCCAATTGTTCCATCTCTGAACAATGCAGAAACCTGAAACATATTTTTAAGAAATCATGAAGCAATTAGACTTTGTTAAATGAATAGCATCAGTGAACTATGATGAGAATGCAATGTTTGATTTTATCCGTAGCTCTGATGTAGTCTCCTATTTTTGCCTTTATTTAAACAGCACAGAAAAGGAGGAAAAAAGTGTACGTATACACGCACACACATACAAGATGTGTATGTGTGTGTGTGTGTGTGTGTGAGTGATTGTGGGTGTATTGACTGTTATTGTTACTCAAACAAGAATACGCATAAAGTTTTACATAGCATTTTCAATGAAAGAGGCCCATATTTCATTGTAATTATCCATACGCAATTGCTATGTTCCTATTCATTGAAAGATATTTGAGAATATGCCTGCATGTGCTTGTGTCCATCCACCTGCACATACAGGCATACATGTGCACTAAGGTCAGCAATAGGAAACAAGATGTGTCTTTCCAGCTGAATGATAGCTACAGATAAAAAAAAAACAAACCCTAAGTTCCTCCTTTTTCCTGATACTTGTTTCTACCCATTAATGTTATGAAAGTCCTAGAGACATGACACCTTCTTTTGGTCAAAGTGACTCTGCAGGTTCTGCTTCAAGGATTTGCAGTGGTTTGAAGTGACTATGCTCATTCCTTATTTTCTCAAAGGGAAAAGTAGGAAGGGAGCTGAGGTTTAAGAGGAGTCATTGCAAGAATCTTACTGTGCCACGAGGAATGAGTTAGGAAGAGGTGAGGCATCATTGTGGGGCTATGTAGTCAAGCTATACCTTTAAGATCTGGTATGTTAACATACTTGATAAATGTCACTCATATCCCAGACGTGATATTAAGGGCAGTACAGAAATCAAATGTTTTCAGTATCACAACAAGAAGAGTCTTTTGTTTGGGAGCAAGGGGAGATACATTCTCATGTAGGAGTCTTAGACAATTAGAATATGGATTCTGTATAAATGTTCAGTAATCAATTTAAAGGAACATCCGTACCATATTAAGTACAGTTAGAACATAAGTAGTAATATTCTCATAGCCATGGTTTTGCATCATCTTTTTGTCAACCACCACCAAAGTCTCAACATTGAATTCTTTGGTCTTATGCGCTTTCAGAAGAGATCGCTTGTTTCTCAGCAGAGGTTTATATTCATCTGGCAAGATATAGGTGTCTCCACCTGGAGGCTGAGGCATATCTGCAAGAACAAAACAAAAGATGTTCAAACAACACTCAGTTATATAGGTTGACAAAACCAAACCAAACCAAACCAACAAACTGAAAATAAGCAAGAATAGGTCAAGGATATTATGATTTCCAGTATCATAATATGGAGCTCTACATGTACTCTCAAGTTTGTGGCTGCACTAATTTACAGTTTTTAACATTTTTAGGTCATACCTCATTTTAAAAACCTTTTAGTCATGGTTGTTAAGTGAATCACTGCAGTTGTTAAATGAATCATATAGTCATTAAGCAAATCCATCTCCCCCATTGACTTTGCTTGTTGGAAGCTGGCTGGGAAGGTTGCAACTGACAATTACATGACCTGGGGATGCTGCAACTGTTGTTAAGTACAGACCGTTTGTCAAAGTGCCTAAATTTTGATCACATGGCTGTGAGGATGCTGTGACAGTTATTTCTTTTCAGTGCCATTGTAACTTTGAATGATCACAAAACAAATGGTTGTGAGTTGAGGACTACCTGTAATCCTGTTTCTACCAATGCTTTGTGTATACTAAGTATACAGAAAATCACAGTGTGTTTCTATTTATCTCAAATAATATAGAAAGGAAGCTATGGAAAGAAATCTCAACATTCTATAATATTAAAATGAGCCCTCTTGGTGTATTCTTAGGTTATGTGCATAAGGACTGGTCCAGGCATTTGCAAACCCCCTGAATTTGTTGAATTGTGAACATTTTTTGCAAACAGTTATAGAAATTGCAAAGTAAATTAATATCTTGAATACCCCCCATTAAACATATGAAATGGATGAAAAAATGAGTGAAAACAAAAGACAGAAACCATACTTTGTGCATTAATTGAAATCAGCAGAACAGAAATATTATTAATATAGGCCAATGATAATCAAACTACCATTGATTTAAATTGTGCATACATTTTCCCTGGTTAAATCAATGCAGCTTAAGAGTGCTTCATTTGATTGGGTTGAGCCAAAGATGCTTAAATTAAGTATAACATGACTGTCTGATTTTTTTTTTGAGGTGATTTAAACTATGTCTTCTGTCCCATTGGCTGGGGACTGATGGGATTTGAATCTAAAACATATTTCGTATCAGGTTATTTTCTCCTAAGATTAAAAATGGGGAAATATGCAAATGTATTCAAAAGCCAATGTAAATTTCAGGGCCCTAATAATAATGAAAAAACCAGGAGAAAGCATTAGATACAAGACATCATTGATTGTTTGTTCCCAGTTAAGGAGTTAAAGCATTAGGAAAAGAGAATTTTGAACAGTGAAGCTTAACGTGATAATAAGTTTACATTACAAATACTGTGATATCAACGTGCTTGTACATTTGATATGGAATTACATTAGAGCAAACGCCTCACACATTACATTATACAAAGCAGTAGCAAATGTTCAGTTGAATTTCATTTCTAGATCACATCTTATGTGGGAAAATATTTATTTGCTGGAAAAAAACAGAACTGAATGTCAAATTGGCAATCTTAAAATACATAGATTAAATAATAAACAGAGGAAGAGACATCTTTACATACATTTTTTACGCCTTCCACAAAAGTGCTGTTTTTGACGCCACTCAGAATTGCGAGATGGTTGGCTATCTTGAAAGACATAATTGTGAGCCTCTTGCTGACTTTCATCAGTCCCAATTACCTCATTATTATTGACGACTAGTTTAGGTTCAGTCGATCTCTTATACAGTACATGAGAACGGTGACCACCAGGAACAGAAATGTTATGTTTAAGTGCAATATTTGGAGGTAGTGGTTTCAAAAAGTAATCCGTTTCCTGCGTCCTGATCAAGCCTAACTGGAAAAAGAAAACACAGTTAGGAACAAGGGCAGTGACTGCTAATGATCCTAGTGAAAGTTCTCTTCAGTTCTTTTCCTATGCTCAGCTTTCAGCTGCCCCTTTTACAATTTGCTTAAGCCTCATGGTGGCTCTATGCAAACCAGTATTTTCAAAGCAGAAAGTCTAAGGATAACTTTTGTCTCCTCTCTAAGCTACTTTTTCTTACTATCTGGTCATTTGTAATAATGATCTAATATCTTTATTCCAATGCTAACACAATTTACACCAGCTCAGGTTTCAGTAGCTCTGTAAAGGTGTCATGATGGAATAAGGTATAGTAAGAAATATAAGATATCTGGAGTATCATTTAAGCTCCAAATTCCAGTTCAGTCATAGATCTTTGCACTTTGAGGATAAAGTTCTGAGAGAACTCTATCTGCATTCACCTGAATGCAGTTATAGGTTTCCATGGGATAGGAATTCTTGCTTGTGTAAGCTGTCATCAGGCCATCGCTTTGAATAAGTGAAGATCAGAGACAAAGGGGGCAGAGAAATGGCAGAGGTGGGGGACAATGGGAATGAGACAAATATGTATAACCTCTCATCCCTTACCCTGTTAAGAGTATAATAGAAGAGCATGAAACCAGACATGTGATAACTTAAGAGAAAATTTTGAAGTCTGCCGAGAAAAGAGAAAATTTTGCTATGACTGCAACTGCAATAAGGACAGGACCAGGTTGTTTATATTGACTTGCATTATTGTTTTAATCATAGGTCATAGGTCATAATGATGCAACATAGTACAAAACAATAGAATACTAGAGTAGGGTAGGGTAGGGTGGGGTAGGGAAGAGAAGAGAAGTTACATACAAAGAGGTCAAAACAAGATAAAGGCAAGGCTATGATTAAGAACTTAAAAATATTTCTGTTTTTACTTTTCCGTGTATTTTAAATGACTACATGCAAAATTAGCAACTGTACTGCTAAAAGGTGGGAATACATCTCTATTATCTCCAAGATGATAATTCAACTTTTTGAGGCTAGAGACTTTGCATTAACCTATCATGAATACTTTGGTACCTAATCTTATTGTAAATAGGAGAATGGAGGATATAGTGAATAATATATTCCACTCGACTGTCACCACAGGGACAGAAACACCGTTCAATAAGGCACTTACAAAATCTCCCTTCAAGACATGCTGAAGGCATGGCCTGCATGTAAATGCTGGTAAAGCCTTTTTCAGATACTGGGAAAGACTTCTAGGATTTCTAAAGTGATAAAATCAAAATGAAGATTTACTGTAGTAGCATCTTTACTGGCATCTCTTTCAAAAACCCTCTCTTTAATATGATCTGTTCCAAGAGCTATGTTCCCCCAAAGTGGAGTTACAGGATACATGTCAAAGATTTGCCCCATTTGATTCCTAGCTGTGTAATGGAGAAAACAAAGTTTGGCAAGGTAGGGTTCTTGTAAGCTTTTAGTTTCTTATAGTGTTCAAAAATACAAGATGTTCTTTGGTGGTGGTGAAAGGTAACCGTACCCCCATCCTCATGTAAGGCCCAAGACTACCACCCAAGAACTATATTCCTGCTGCAGTATGGCACACCAGATGGCAAAGGAACTGAAAGGCAGCTTCAGAAATTGTAGAGGAGGAGGAGAAAACATCCCCATAGCATATACAGGAAAAGGTCACAATGATGTTTTTTATAGATTTGTTAGTAGAGTAGGAAAGACCAAAATGAAAGCTGCCTTAAGTATAATCATGTCTGTTCTTATAGAGTCCTGAATTTGGCAAATATCACATCTGAGAACATTCCAGAGTACGGTAGTATTTCTTGGGTTTTAACCTGCAATCAGAACAGTTTCAGAATAAAACTCATTGGGTAGAACTCACCAATTACATATTGACTATAATGTTTTCTTCAGAATTATAAGTTTTCTTTGTCTTGATTCCATATCAATGCCTACTGCTAGTGGGGAAGAAGGAACACTATCTAACATCATTTTCAGGCATGAATTTAGGTCATACTTACATTAACAAGCTCTGCAGAGCAACATAATTTTGGTAGCAGATCTGTTCTCCATTTAATGTACAGGAGCAGGTAAGATTTACTGCAAAATGTTATCTAACGTTTCTGAAAACTGCAGTGGCAGGAATCTTCCTCATATTATAAAGGCATCCACCACAGTAATGTTAGGGTTATGTAACCATTGGGATTTGATTGCCAAGAGACCTTCCAGAGTGAGTGAGGGGTCCAAATGTACCACCTGTCTACAACACTTAAAAGCAGCCATGCCCTCCCATAGGGTCCAGAAAAAAAATGCAGCTGCTTTAAAATATAGCAGATAAATGTTCTGCTTGTGCCCTTGTATGGTGCAAAGGATCATTTAGGAATTTAATATGAAGCACTGCACAGGGCTATTTAATATGAACTGTGGGAAAAGTGTAGAAACCTAGTCATTTGGAAATTCCCAAATCACATTGGTGACAGCGTTAAAAATCCTATCAAAGGAAAATATGACAAAGGAAGACTGAATCAGCTAATAGGTCTTTTGCACCACTGACCACTATGAATTTATATTTCATAATAATAAGGTTAAGTGTTCTTTTGTTTGCTGGGTCAAACCTGTAGTAGCTTTTGGAGTTTTCAAGCTCTTATTTATCAGGAAAGACTCGGACTTGTTATTGTGTTGCCATAACAACTTACAAAACATCATGGATCTCAATGTGCTGCATTATTAGCATACACCTGATGATGGTGTGGGAACACTAAGTGAAAGTTCCATATCCAGGGAAACTTATGACTAGAGAGAAAAAGAAAATTGAACTTGAAATCCAAATTGACAAAATATATTCCAAATGGAACCAAAGACCATTTGATTTCTGGGAGTATCGGATTAGTTTTTGTGATAAGATATGAGATAGCTCAGATATTTCTAGGCTGAAACAATCATCCTCAGATTAAATGTCATACACATAAATATTTGTCCAAAATTTGAAGAATTCGCTTTTAACAGCATCAAAAGTAATAATGACAAGATGGGATGGGTGTGCATATATGTCTTTAGGCCTATTGTAAATTAACTCAGAAACAAGATTACCTGGACATAGGTTTGGTTCATGTAAATAATAAAAATAGTTCCTCGGATTTTTTTTTAAGGACATTTTAGAACACTAAGGTGCTAGATTTATAAAGGAATTTACTTTCTGATAATGCTAGAGATGATCCAAATAATTTTGAAGATAAATCCATCGCTTCTTTACTACATTTTCTTTTTGCAGAAAACCCAAATTGTTAGTCTTGAAACTCCTTCCTGTCCTTTTCTCTTCTTCCTCCTGTTTTTGTTCATTGCCCACCTTAAGGAATGTAAATGTTGGAACTCAGAAGCTTTTTCTGCTATATATTTTCCAGTTGGTCCTTATAATGCCATGTTATGCTCATTGTTTAGGGTTTTTTCCCCCCCTATACAGGTAGTCCTCGACTTATAACTATTCATTTACTGACTGTTCAGAATTACATTGGTGCTAAAAAAGGTGACTTATAATGAGACCACTGCAGTCACAAGAACACAATTTGGGCTCTACATTTATGACAGTTGCAATGTCCTGCAGTGATGTGATTGCCATTTGCAACCTTTCCAGTTGGCTTCTGATAAGTAAAGTCATTGGGAAGTAAGACCCAATCTAGGTCAGTCACCAGAGGTTTAGTCTTCTTAGCTGTCTGGCATATTCCAGTAGAGAGAAGTTCCCTGACGATGGGCTCTAGCACAAGTCTGAAAGCTCAGAAGACAAAAATCTCTGGTCCTGGTGACCGACCCAGATTGGATCTTGTAAGGTTATCCTGGGACATGTACATTTTCCTTCATTCACTGGAAAATCATCAGGGAAGGTTGCAAATTGTGGTCACGTGATATTCTTTTTTTAAAGACCATGGTAATTTGCTTAATGACTGGGGCAAAAAAGGCTGTAAAATCAGGTGAGGTTACCTGATGCCTCACTTTATGACCATACTGCTTAATGACGATTTTTCCAGTCCCAATTATGGTGGTAAATGATGTACTTCACTATCTATATTTTTGATACACTACAAAATCCTTATTGCTAATTTACTATCTTCATTATACTAATACTACTTTACTATCTTCATTATGTAGATGTTTCATCACAGATTCACTGACATATTTTTTTTCCCTATCCAAAATGGAGAAACTCATTTACTAAGTTGTGAAACTTATTACAACTAAGCATAAGTCAGTTCCTTGCCTTAGTTTTCTAATTAATACAACTTGAGATGTAATAATCAAGCTGAGAATATAAACCCTGGGAGCAAGAAATTATTTTGCTGTCTTGTAGTCACCAAAGAAGAGGAAACACTTTTCAAATAAATCTTCTCCAAGAGTATGAAGGGATGGCTAATTAATTGATTGCCTCTTTATGGTATATCAGTACTTTTATACTTTGAAAGTGAAAAAAGTCCCAAATCACCTTGAACATTATGTTTCAATAAATAATAAGCTGAACCTTTAGCACTTCTGAATATAAATTAGACTTTCTTTCCTGGGTGGAACCTATGGGTGGAAGTAAGGGTTTTGGTAAAAATAAATAACATAATCCTGGCATTCTAATAAAGAGACATCATGTTATCTCATGACAAAATATATCTGTAATTAAATGAAGTCATCTCCCTATAGAACATTAAATCTAGTTTCACAAGTTTTTAATATTAATATACAGATACTAACTGCAGTTCATTAATACACTGAAGAATAACATGTATTAATATGAAGGGAAGGTTAGTTTTTTACATAATGTGGATAATTTCAGAATCTCTTCGCATCTACTGTATGCTTCTTGTACTACCCATTTTATAATGCCATTCCTTGGGCATTGTAAAAGTAAGATGTCTTAGCAAAAAAAAAGTTTTTTTTAAAAAAAACCTTTTTAGCTTAAAATAGAAGTAACTTTCAGAGCACCAACTTCTTTCCTTGGCTGCCATGGGGTCAACTGATGTTATATTTTCCACCAGAATTCCAGGAAACACATGCAGTACAAGGAGACTGAAAGGGCACAACATTTTTGGTTTTAAAATGAATTCATAATTACCATAATATAATATATTGCAGAGCATGCAGATTTTCCTCATGCACATATTTTTTCTGAAATTTCCCATCTCCACAGAAGATTGAGAATATTATCTTTACGAAAGTGAAGAATTTCAATTAAATTTCAAATAGTTTGAAAACACATTAACAGGGGCTTACTAGTGCTCTGATAAGCTTCCTGAATTTGTTGACAACTTGTATTTTTTTTAAGGTGGAATGCCTACATTCAGTTCATTGGTTACACATAGGTAGCACAATGCTGGTCCATATATGGATGTTCACAAATACTTTAGCCAATATCTTCAATCACCATATAACAAAGTATCAAATAAAGTATGAACATAATATTCAAAACAGTATATCATTCAGTTAATTTTCCATGACTTGCTAGTCAAATATATCAGCTGTCAGGGGTGATCCTACGTGATAAATGAATCGGAGACTTTACTGTAGTATAAACAAACTACGAGATCAGTAGTAGATGTACAGTCCTACCACCAGTACTAACGTAGAAGTTTTTGTATTAGGGAAAAATATAAGTACACTACAATCCCACGGTCCATTAGTTAGTTCTGGAAATCAACGTATCAGTATTGGTATTGGTATACCTGGTTCTTGGATGCCTCTGGTCATCAAGTCATCAAGTAATGCAAATGCATGTCTTTATTCCAATTTCAGTACATCCAGTATAGACAAGTGTAACCCTAACAATACTACTAACAAAATTATGCACAATGAAGAGAAAGCAGGCAAAACTTTCCATTTTCCTCATCACACTTGATTACTCGTTGATTTGAATGGCTATTCTGCAAACAGATAAAATAATTACTTCTCTCACAATTGATTTAGGGGATTTACTGCCACAAGATACTCGGTGATGGAAATTGCCTTAAAGAAACTTGAAGAATTAGCTTCATTTATATCGCTCTACTGGGATCAGGAATATAGCCATAATCTCCAATCTGAATGTCAGTATTGTAGATAGAATATATCACATGCTAAGGGTAAAAAAAGAAAAATAAGGATTTCTGCATTCAAAGTGTATAGGAATCTCTTAGCACACTAGTCAGTATAGTACTTCATCTAAGTAATCGCAATGACTAACCAAATCTAAATGGTGGGCCATATCTGGCCCAGGTTGTGCTAGAGCAGCGGCTCCCAACCTTTTCTATACCCTGCACTCTTAGAATGTTTCTGATATATTCTTGCAACCCTTACAAAAGTTCAAAACAACGGCAACAAATTATGCATATACTGTACACTATAATTTTCAAAACCCAAGTTTTCGTACCCCCTGGAATATCATCTCGCACCCCAGGTTGGGAACCCCTGTGCTAGAGATACTCCCCTCTAACTCAATACATAATATAGAGTGGGAACTGGAAAGAGTAATTAGTTTGCTCATAATCCAGCATTGGGAAAGCCCACTACAATGCCTCTTTTGACCCTACTTTTTTTTTGGGGGGGGGGGAGCAAACTGTGAGAAAATAAAACCTGATTTCTTCTCCAGTTTTCACTAGCTTAAAGAGATTGACAGCCAGTGTAGCAGAACCCTTTCTATACTTAAATGGGAATAGGGGCCGCTGAAGTCAATATAACTTAACAAAGAGTAAGCATATGTAGATTTGTTTGCTTTCCTGAACTCTAATTTCGACAGTCCCTCTGAGAATATTTATACTTGTGGTTGAGAGGATAGCTTATCTGTGAATCAATGATTGTAGATGTAAAAATGGGGCTAAATTAATTTTGCAAATGGAATGTTATATTTTACAAGCAATTAATCTTAACTGACAGTCATTAGTACAATTCATAGTAATTTAATATTTTGTATTGGCCCTGTCTTTTTTGGGAGCATGGATTCTGGCAAGTGTAAGTGTGTATATGGATAGCTCAATACAAGTATGTCACATGCACACATTAATTGGAGGAATAAAATCTCCAGGACTGGTCTCAGTGGGAGTTAATAACTCTAAATAACAAGTTATGAAAGCTAGACTGTTTACAGAACATTTCTGTTTATTTATGTTTTCTGGGTGGTCAAATATTTTTTATGAGAAATTATCTTAAATTCATGGTTCCCTAGTAAAACTGGAATAAGAACTTAACTCACTTGTCTTTTCCATAAAACAAATCAGTCACATCAGATGGCTAGCAACACACAAGGGCTAGGGTGGGAGACTGGGTAACAATAAGATGAAATGATTGATAAAACTGAGAACTTCTTTCAGTCTGCAAATCTTTGTTCTCCTTCCCACATAAGAAATTGTGAATGAGTGAATGAATGAATGAATGAATGAATGAATGAATGAATGAATGAATGAATGAACGAACGAATGGTGGTCTTATCACAAAGTATACTCTGATCTGAATCACCGCCAAATTCAATACTTTCCCTTTTTCTATTTCCTAGTATGGTATTCTACCTAATCAAACTGTCCTGCCCCCAATGCATTGGCATGGTTACCACAGGACCATTCTTCACAGGAAGACAGAGTTCTTCTGAACTAGTTCTCACATTGACAGTAAAAAGCAAGAAATGAACAAATCCGATTACCGCCAAAACATAGATGAAATGGAAATGAGCCAGCTTGCTCAGAAGGGGGCACCAAACAGTCCACCTGCTAGGATGGGCAAGGATAAAAAAAAACCTTCTACCTAAATGAAGGCTTGAAAATGAAGGCTTGAAACCCTTAAACATGGTTAATTTTCAATTACTTCTACAATTCTTGGATTTTTTTTTTACTTTTCAGGTGGGACGATGGTGAACTTATCTAAGTGGATCCAGTCTTGTTTCCAACTCTGAAAAGAAGATTTTCAGGGAGGATTCATTACTATTCCTGGTAAATGAAGATCTATTCAAAATATATTTGGATCATGTCATGATCCAAATTCTTCTTTGTCCAGTATACCCATAGCAGTTCTTAATTTATCACAAATGATTATATGTATGATTTGCTACTGAAATGCTCACAAATATTTTACTTATATAGAACATTTTCTTTCCAATTTGACTTTCACATACCTTAAATTGTAGCTTTTGTCACATCTCTACTTACCAAGCCTCCGCATGTTGAAAGTGCTACAGTTGAATTTTTGTGCAATCGCAAAATGCCTTGATAAAAACAAAAGTCTTCAGTTGGGAATGTCTGTACTGACTTGATTCTCCCCTTGCCCAGAGTTTGTACTGTAAATCCAGGTGCCACAAGAAAATTGGAGGTCTTAAGATCAAGTTGGAAGTCATGGCCAAATCCTTGGAGATGGAGATGTAATGAATCAGTTGATCTCCCTGAAGTTGATCGCTTCCTTCTTTCATGGTGTGCAATTGCATGGCTTATATAATCTCCATTTTGGTTTACTTCATATGCTGTCACAATGTCATATTCTGTAATCAGTCAAGGCATAGAATCAGATTGCAAATGGCAGGCCCAAATTGCAGGCACAGTTCCAAGTGTCTACAAATATAATTCAATTTGCAACTTAGCTCCTTAACTAAATTAAAACTAAATTAAAATTCCAGATAACTGTCAGTGATATATCCATGAAAAGGCAGTGATAATGAGATGTAAGGGCTAAAGAGGAAAGAGTGACTTGCTTAAGGATGTGAGGCCAACTTGAATTGAGAGGTCCATGCAGCTCTATCATTCAGCTGCAATCAGCAATCAATGCAGATTTTCAAGAAAAAAAAATCATTTGGAATGTACCTTATATTGAAATATAGAGGATAAAAATATTAAACCACAACAAATTAGTGTAAATACTGAAAGGCAATAGAATCCTGTGTTATATTACTTATATTGAAAAACATCCATCCCAAACTAGGAGATACTTAAAATGATTCATGTACTAACTTAGGTTTCAAAAGAACTGTGTGTGATATATTGAAAACTGTTTTTCACTGGGTGCATAGGGGTATCTTCAGGTTCACTATTTATTCATTCCATTTCATAAAGCGATAATTCTAATTCAGAACTCCCAGAATTATATTCTGATTTTCTAAAGGAGGCTGTTTGAACTTAACAGAGTCGTGCTATCTTGCTAATATCCAGTTTGAAATCAAGATCTGGAGATAGCAAGATTCTATGCAAATTGGAGGTTCAATATTCAAAGACAAAAAGATTTCATTAAACTTTTCTTGAGATTCACTTAGATGTGCAATCAGAAAATAGGCAATTACCTGCACTTGAGCCATTTTCAGCAGAATGGATGAACATTTTGGATGAAAAATAAAAAAAACTGAAACATTTTCTACCTTATGTTATACTGATTATATATAACATTTTATCTGAAAGAACATGAAAAAAATGTTGTATGGTTCAACCAAGTCACAGAATCACAGAATGATGGTGGAAGGGGTGGAAGAGAACTTCAGTCCAAACTTGTGCCCAGTTTAATCATGACTTAGTAATTCAAAGCAATTTATTGACTAGTCAAATGCCTCTTGATCCAAAGATTGAAGTAAATAAAGTGAGTGTAAATAAGTTTCTCAGATTACCAAATAGTTGCATTTTGCCAATTTCTGAGTCAGAGTTGCTGTTGTTCTATGCTCTAATTCTCCACTAGATGTCAGTAGTTATTTATTTTCCAACTTTTTCAAACAAAAAAGTTATTTTTTTTATAATTTCATAGAAACTCTTTAGGGTGTAAAATCTTAACAGTTTTCTTAATTTTCAGATTTACCCAAACTATAATGTTATTAATTTTATTTCAGTATATTTCTTTCCCCCCTTAGAAGTTAATTCACCACTTCTGTCTATGAAGGGGTGGGGATTTAGTCCCCTCCCTCACTTTCAAGGATTTCTTGCTTTGGGGATCTTTTCCAGGGAATCAGTTACAAAATAGAAGAGAGAAAATCAATATTCTCACCCAAGCATGCTGTTCACTATTGTTCTGGTTTGTGCTTTTGGACTTTGGCTGCTAGTAGCTTGGGCTAGACACTGATGTGCAGCTAGCCTTTCTTCTGTCAGGTTGGAGGGCTTCCCCCAGATTGAGCGGATCAACTGCCATCATTCCACAATCATCGGGGTGCCCCTTCTTTGTCACCTCTCTGGGGCGACTTTAGGGTCTCCTGGCAGGGTGAAATCAGTTGTGGGGTGCGGAGCCCCGTGATCCCTCAGCCATGTTGCTACAGGGCAGAACCAGAAGTCCTGCTAGCTCATTTTTAAGTGGGTGTCCAGATCCCTCTCACAGTTACTGCTATTGAGCCAGGTATCACCTATTCTGCACCTGTGCATTTAGTTTTTCTTGCCTAAGTGTAAAACTTACTTTTTTTTACCACTGGATTGCATTTTGGTGGAAAAGGCCTAATGTCCAAGTCTGTCAAGATCCTTCTGCATCTTGAGCCTATCTTCTAAAGTGTTGGCTACTCCCCAGCTTGGTGCTGTCTGCAAATTTGATGAGTTCTCTTTCTGTCCCCTCATCTAAATCATTTATGAAGGTGTTGAAGAGTATTAGGCCTATGACAGAATCTTGGGTACCCCATTGTATGCTTCCATGTAGATGTAGTTCCACTGAAGACTACACACTGAATGTTGTTTTTCAGCCAGTTAGGAATCCATCTGGTGGTGATGCTGTCTATCCCATATTTTTCTATCTTACCAAGAAGTTGGTCTACTATGTCAAATGCCTTACTAAAGTCAAAGTATACTATGTCCATAGCATTTCTCTGGTCCATTAATTTAGTCACTTTGTCAAACAATGAAATAAAAAATTGTTTGACATGATCTCTTTTTGACAAACCTATAATGGCTTCTGGTTATACCTTTGCTTGCTTCTAGGTATTTGTAGATCTGTTTCTTGATTATCTTTTCCAGGATCTTCCCAGGTATTGATGTCAGGTTGATTGGTCTGTAGTTTCCTGGGTCCATTCCCCCCCTCCTTTTTGAAGATGAACTTCTGGTAATTAGCCAGTGCTTCAAGATTTTGAAAGATATGGTTCAGTAATTCTGAGATCACATTTCCAGCTCCTTCAGAACTCTAGGATGTAATCCATCTGGTCCTGGTGATTTGAAATTGTCTAGAGTGGATAGGTGTTGCCTATTTTGACCTGCATTCATAATCTGTCTTTTATTGTACTGCTTTTTTTCTTTTTGTGTAAAGACGGATGCAAATAATGAATTAAGCAGTTCGGCTTTCTATGTGCTGCCTGTCACTTCTTGCCATCTCCTCACATTATTGGACTAATCATTTCTCTGACTTTTTCTTGTTTTTTACATTGAAAGAAACTTTTTTAAAAATATTTTGGACATCTATTGCAAATCTTAATTCATTCTGTGCCTTAGCTTTTCTGACTTCATCTTTGTAGATTTGGGCTATATGCTGATATTCTGTCTTAGTTACGCCACTCTCTTTCTACTTTTTATACTTGTCCTTTTTGTCTTTCAATTAATCAGAGAGTTCTTTATGTAACAATGCTGGTTTCCTCTGGGATCAGTTATTCTTCTTTTTTAGTATTGTGCTAGACTGGGCTTTTATAATCTCATTTTTCAAAGTTCCCCAGGCTTCTTGAGTCATTTTCCCCTTAAATATTACCATCCATGGAATCTTGCTCAAACTCTAAGTTTTTGAAATCAATTCTCTTAAAGTTTAAGACACTAGTCTGATTTTGTTCTATTGCTTGTGCCTGCATTACAGTATATTGAATTACAATATCAGATGATCACTCTCTCCCAAAGTTCCCATAACTTCAACCCCTTCTATCATTTCATCTCTGTTAGTGAGAATTAAGTCCAGTATAGCCAATCTTCTAGTTCCCTTCTTTATCTTTTGATAGACAAAGTTGTCTGTTAGGTTCGCCAGGAACCAATTTGATCTCCCGCTATGTGCAATTTGTCTCCCAGTTGATGTCAGGATAGTTAAAGTCCCCCATTGCTATTATAGTGTGCATCCTGCCTACCTTAGCTAACTGATTAGCACAAAGTTAATATATTTCCTTGGTTGGGTGGTCTGTAGTATACACCTATGACAATGTTATTCTCTTTTCCCTTTATATTAACACAAATTCACATTTAGCACCCTCTAGGGTACATTTCTTCTCCATTTGTATATAATAATAATAATAATAATAATAATAATAATAATAATAATAATAATAATAATAATAATAATAATAATAATAATAATAATAATAATAATAATAGTAATAGTAAAGTTGGAAGGGACCTTGAAGGTCATCTAGTCCAACCCCCTGCTCAGGCAGGAAACCCTATACCATTTCGAACAAATGGCTNTTCTTAAAAACTTCCAGTGTTGGAGCATTCACCGCTTCTGGAGGCAGGTTGTTCCACTGGTTAATTGTTCTCACTGTCAGGAAGTTTCTCCTTAGTTCTAGATTGCTTCTCTCCTTGATTAGTTTCCACCCGTTGCTTCTTGTCCTGCCTCCAGGCGCTTTGGAAAATAGCTTGACTCCCTCTTCTTTATGGCAACCCCCGAGATATTGGAACACTGCTATCATGTCCCCTCTCATCCTTCTCTTCATTAAACTAGACATACCCAATTCCAGCAGCCGTTCCTTATATGCTTTAGCCTCCAGTCCCCTAATCATCTTTGTTGCTCTTCTCTGTACTCTTTCCAAAGTCTCAACATCTTTTTTACATCGCGGTGACACCCTAGTAAATTATCACCCAAAGGTTATTGGACTGCAAACTTTTTTCACTGGTCTGCCTTTTACTCTTAACAGAGAGTTCATCCTTTTTTTCCAGAAACTCTTATAAAGCAGTGCCAAACTAGCAATTTTTTTCAGAGAAGAAATCAAGTATTCTTGCTTACTTGCTTTTCATGCCAAGCACACAGGAAAAGTAAAGATGCAGAAGACATTATCCTTTTATTGTCAGTTATGAAAGACATTTTCATTAATGTTTCTCTATCTCAGCAACTTTAAGATGAGTACATTTCTATACCCAACCCAGGCTGGGGAATTCTGGGAGTTAAAGTCCCACCTCTATTTTATATTTAACACAAATGCAAAACATATAGGTAGCCAAAAAAGAAAAAAAGAACTTTCCATCTTGGAGACTTTTCACATTAGGGATCCTTAGCAGAACACCAATTATTGCTATGTTGATGTAACATACTAATGCCATGATTCATGGTTCTGATCTTCCTTCCTGTCCTATATTTTTAAGACTGATGTCCTCAAGATGTGTTCATGTATTGTCTGCCCAGATGTACTCTCGCCAGGTAGGGGAATTTATGCCTACCATAATACTAGTAGGCACTGGGGTAGCTTAATAAAGAAGGATCAGATGGTTGGTGGTTCCCAAAACAGAAGGACAAGGGTGCCTGGGATTAAGCCAATTGGGTGCTTTGCCTTTGGCGAAAGCATTGGTAACTGTTTTGAAGGCAATGAATGAATGAATGAATGATGAACGAGTGAATGAATAAAATGAAATGAATGAATGAATGAATGAATTGAAATGAAGCAGGGTTTTCTGAAGACAGAATCACTCATATTCATTGATAATTAAATGGTACATGGATATGAATCACAGGGCAATGTCTTCCACTGTCACATAGCACTCATTTGAGCTTGTGGAGACTGAGAAGTGGCTAGGATCATCTGCAGCATGAATCAACATGTCTTTAGAGCCACATCCTACTGGCTCTTCAGGCATCTGGAAGGCATGCATGCCTGAATTCAAGAGATGATTTATGTTTTTTTTTGGGGGGGGGGGAAAGGATTTGATGTCTTCAGCCTTGAAAAAAGTGTGTTCTCAAAGAACCATATCTCGATATATGTTGTTTCCAATACCCCCTTTGGTGAATGTTGCTGAAAAAGTTGCAATGCCCTAATTATAGAGGAGCCTAGATGAAAATGATTGAGTTTCTGCCATGTTTCAGATCAGGGCAGAAAGGTATTGGTTACTCTTGTGCATACCAGAGTGTAACTTTGGACAGTCATACTCTCTCAGTCCAACCCATCTCATAGGGTTGTTATTGTGGGGAAAACACGAGGAGGAAAGAATATTAGGTATGTTTGCTGCCTTGACTTATTTATAAACAATAATAAAAGCAGGATAAAAATCAAACTAAACCAAACCAAATAAATAAAGTATACCAGGATCTCGATGGTGTGAGTATGACCCATTTGGTCCTGTTAGATCTCACAATGGCTTTTGTTATCATTGGCCATGCTATCTTGCTGGATTGCCTACTAGTGTTGGAGATGCTACCTTGTGGTGTTTCCATTTGAAGGGGAAAGCAGTTGAACTAGTGAGGGCTCTAATGTGGGTACTATAGACTTGGTATGCTTCCTACTGCATTTTAATATCCACATGAAACTATTGGGGAAGCTCTTCCACCAACTCTGGTTGAGGAATTATCAGTTTTGCTGATGATCTTCATTTGTGCATCATCTCCTCAAGGAAGGCTGTAGGAATTGTGACAGTCCTAATTCTGTCTAGAACTGTAAGGATCTGGATAGGAAGAAATAAACTCAGACCAAATCCGAAAAGATGCTGTAGCTGTTGATCCAGAGGCACCCCAGTTCACAACAATTCTATTGTTAGCTTTGGATGAGGTCATCCTTGAAGCAGGGAGGGGCTGCTGAGGTTTCCATTCCTGCATGAATAGGGTTCAAGAGGGGTAAGACACATAGGCCCCAAAGTAATCCTCTCTGTGGTTAGCCTCACACTCTTGAACTCTTTGCCTCTGGAGACTTGCTTACTCCTTCTTTATTGACCTTCCACAAACATAGTTCACAGAGTGGGTGAACTTTTTTTTTTAAAGCATCGTTTCATTGTCAGATGTAATGCATACTTATACTGTGAATTACTAGGGCTTTAACTGAGCAGGTCATGATAAAAATACAGTCAGATAACATTGGAGATATTATGAGCATTTATCAACAGATAAATGCTTTAGGTATTTACGCCAGTCAGAGAAGAAGGAGATTCCACTGTTCTCTGTCGACTTTAAAAATGACTTGTGAGAGGAAGACTGAACATCCCAACACTTTTTATACCAGAGAAGGAAGACACAGTTCTTCTCCTGCATATCAGTAGAAGAGGGGGCAAGCATCAGTCTCCCCTTTGGAAGCCACTAGGTTAATACTCCTTGGCACTTAAAGTGACCAGATGAGTAGTCAAAAATATTACTATTCATTAATATTAACACTCACTAGGTGTTACTTATATTTTTTTGTGTGTGTGTGTTTGTTATTTACTGTTATTTGGATAGTTTTACTGTTGGATTTAATTTGCTTGGCTGTTTTATGACTTTAATAAAAGCTGGATTTCCTGCTCTCCTGGTTGTGAGAAAAGGGTGCATGTGTTTGTGTTCTCACACAGGATAGCTGCTCACTTATTCTGAAATATTTGCAAGGCAAACAGAGCAAGTCACTGATTGGCTCTGATCTTTATTTAGGTTCCTATTGCTATGTGATAAGACCTCACTGAGAGCAACAGTTATTCATTAGCTTCAATTTGTGTGGGTGTTATTTCCTCATCCATTAAGTTATTATTGTTAGGTTTTAAGTTGCAGGGCAGCAATTCTAGACTGGAAGAAAGCCAGTAACAAATATATCAGTTTAATTTAAGAAAGTCATGTTCAATCCTTTGACACAGAGCAATGAAACACATCAAATATAACCCACATTTCACAATTATTACTGTGCCAAATATCAGCAGATAAATTCAATAATTCAGCCCTACTAATAAAACACAGAATTTGGCACCTATAAAAAGCAGCAAGATTTCTTAACAGCCCACTTATAAGCATTTTATTTGGAATTAGTCTCAAAATTCAATATCATTTACTCCCATGTGGGTTTACAACTGGATAAATTAGATTTAACAGGTTAATTGTTTGTGTTTTAAATATTTAAGCTTATTCTTATCTGAATCCCCACAGAATTAGACAGCCAACATTATGCAAGTTTAATTGACAGCTAGTTCCATTATTTTGGTGGGGCTAAATTCCAAGAAAGTGTACTTCCCTCAATGATTGTGGTAGAATATATTGCCAAACATGCTTAAGATTAAATAATGTAAACAACCCCAGTTTTACAGTTCTCCTAGCTCCGAAACAGAAGCTTTTGGACTGCTCATAGGATCACATTAATGTACAAAATCTCAGTTAACGTCTCTGAAAGTTCATACAACATAGTACAGCACATTAAAATTGCACTGTTTATAACCACACTACTAAACACTATGGAATTCACTTCCAAGTAAACATGCACTGCATTTATACTCTGGAGATGCTGTCAGTGAAAAGTTGGTGCATTTGCAGAGGATTGCAAAGGAAGTCAAAAGGTTGTTTTCAGGTATAACTCACTTTACATGCAGTATTGCTACCTTTGGCTACATAACTTGAGCATTTAGGAAATTAGTAAAATTCGGGTGCTTTACAAATATCCTGAGTTCTATTGACTTACCACTATTATCTGTGAAGTGCAGCAACTCTGAATGCAAAGAGGAAAACGGGAGATGTTGGCTCCCTTCAGCTGTTTGACCCACACATCCCTACGAAATTAAAAAAACAAAACAAAACAAGAAACCAAGCAAATTTGAAAGAGAGGCAGAGAGCAACAATCTTTTCCCCTACCCTCAATATTTTGCAAAGAAAGGTTCAGGGAATGCAACAAACAAACAACTTTTAACATTGTTTCAGAAAACATCCCTGAAAGATTCGCGTTGACGTCATTAATGCGGCGGTAAGGGAACCGGGTCGGGTTAGGGTGAGAAAAGAAAAAACCCACACACAAAACGGGAGGCAACGGCTTCAGCCTTAGTTGCTCTGGGCGAACGTACCTTAACCTGTATTTCAAAGAAAAGCCAAAACCACAGCCCCGCTAAGCTGTTTGAAGGCATCCTCCCGAGAAGTGATGAATTGTAAGCAGTGGGTAAAACCGGACGGAGGGAGGCTGACTCCTGATTTGGAAAGGGGAGTGGAGCCCTCTTCCAGGGTGGCAAAGACCTGCATCTGCGGGGGGCTGTGCAGAGAGGCAGCCTAAAGCGACTTTATGACAGCAATGAACAGATCTCTCTCCCGGCGGCGGCGGCGGCTCCGTGGCGAGGAGAACGCCCAGTGGCTGTTAAAGGGTGCCTGACCAAAAGTGGTGGGGCTGCTGCTGCTGCTGCTGGTAGTGGTGACGGCAGCGGGCGTGGAAGGTTGGAGGCTCCTTGGCGCGCCAGGTGTATCTCTCCAGCCCGTCGCCCCATGCGAGCTTCTGCGAGGACCTCCGCTGGCGGCACGGATGAGGGTAACCAGCCGGCTCCCGTTGAATGACAGTCAGCTCGGCCCCGCCCCTCCCGCACCTGCCGCTGCTGCGAAGAACCGGCGCGCTCGGATGGAGAGGTGGGAGGTGGGCGGGGCTTTGCTCTCGCCGTCCGCCTAGCTCGCCTTTGTCCTGCTGAGCCAAAGAGGCGGGCAGGTATGGGAAAAGGCGGACGGGAGAGGAGTTTCGGGACCCCGGGGCTCGCTACACTCTTCAGCCCTGCAAGTGCTTTTTCGAGCAGGTGCAGAGGGCATACTGTATGTCTTCTGTCCTTTAGAAAGGACTGGTATCCACCTGAACCAGAAAAAAAAAGATGGCAGATTCATACATTTGAACTCTACCATTCCTGAATGCAAATGTATATAAGATATGGAGTGCGGGGAGGGAATAAACTTTTTAAAAAGTTACCCTGGTTAAAAATATTAATAAAAAACTAAAAGGGAAGAAAACAAGCCAGGGTGAAGTAATTCTTTTCTATTTGAAGGGAGGTCCTTGCACTTGGTTTTAATTGACCAGAAGTGTTTGGAAGAGCTTCCATCTCTTGAAACTTTTTAAAATCTCATCTTAGTCCATTGATAAGATAAAGTCCCAGTCACTAAGAGTTGGGCAGCATACAGGTTTAATTACTATCAATAATTGAGCTCAATTTCCTTCTGGTGATTTCAGGTATGGCCTCATTCTGGCAGCCATTTTAATGTGCTTCCTTCCCATTTGTAAAGGAGCACTAAAATATGCCAGTATAATTTGCTCTGTCCTGACAGTTAAACTCTAATTTGCTTGACAGTGACATCTGTGTATGTGTGAAAATGAGTAAGATGGCAGAAGTGGCATCATGATGCATGCCCCAGCCTTTCTATATATGCACTGAAGTTGCATGCATGTTCAAAGGGGCATCACAACGCTGTCTGCTATCTAATGCTCCACATCCCGTAAGCCACTGTTCCCTCAGAAACAAGGCAGTAGAATGCTGTAACATCCAGGTGGGCCATTAAGAAAATCATTTGCTGGATTTCCCGCCAGTAGGGAAAAGATCTGTCGGTCTTCCTACCTAACATGTAGAGGTGCTAGTGTAAAATATGAGTTTTGACAGAAGTCTAGAGTCATGGGTCTCTCCTGCTTTGCCAAGAAACCTCTGCTCATCCACAAATTAAGAGCTGCAGTACACATTCTTTTTCTGTTATCTGCAGATTACCTTTCTTGCTTGCTATCTCTCTCTTGATCTTGGTTTTCTTCTTGCTCTGTGTTGATGATTCTCTTGCACTCTTCTCATTGGCTTGTTCTTGTTCATTCTCTAAAATATGGCTGATAGGTGGACTCTTAATAGGCGCCGGAGGGTAGACTCCCTGCTACTTCTGCCATCTCCCTAGCTCCATCATTGTAATTTGTCATTTCCACCACTTCTGCTGCCAGAATAGCACCACTCACTTTACAAAGAAAGGATTTTGAAAAGTGGTAAGGTTTGGATTATTCTAGGTTCATATGTGCAGCCTATAACCAGTAAGCTGTTTCAAGAAGTGTTTAACAATTGGGAAGAGATGATTTTGCCCAGGAAAAAAATAGTTCTTTCTTTCCAAAGATTAAACCCCACAGGCTGGGCCTGAAAAGTGTGAGTATCTGTGCTGCAGTTGAAATCAGCCACCGAAGCTGGGCAGATCCCAGTCCATGACTGCATCATCACCATGGCCACAACCAAAGCATTGAAAATTGAGCATATAGCAAAGCATGTTTCTGGATAGAAAATGCCACTTTGACATTTGATCAGCTTCTCATAGAATTAGGCAGGGGGTGCAGCTGTGGGCTGGATATGAGACAAGGACTACATCATGAACACATGTCCTTAAAGAATGGTTAGCAACACACGTTTGTGTCATAGTGAGGGCATATGTGGACAAGCCATTTTCAATCAGCAAAGATTTGTTAAGTGTTGCCATTCTCTCCGGCCATTGGGACTTATTTATTTGAAGAGATAGTTCTAAAAATGGCCCGAAGTTATAGACATCTCTATATATCAAAATTATTTCAATACATGCTCACATTGAAATGATCATTGTTTCTTTAATAGAGGATGTAGAGATCCTTGTCTGCATGCAGACAGGGACTCTGCAACTAGAAGTAGACTAGAGTAACAAAATAAAAGAGAGAGAGAATCTTTCTGTGAATTTATGCTTCTTCCTACAACCAGACACTGGGAAATATTGACAACAAATATTTCTGCCTTCCTCCCAGTTTATTCATGAAGAAGTCTCTATCAATGACTATGGAGGGCCTTCTGTAAATCTGAACTCTCCAGATTTGGAAATTACCTTTCTCATGTGCTTGCAGTGCATTGGGATAAATAGGAGAAATGATATAATAAAGTGCATTAAACTACTTGGAAAGGAATGTACCAATGCTTTGCAATGGGATTTTGGGGGAGGGGTCAATCTGATTTAGTATGAGCTAGATCAGACATGTCAAACTCACGACGTCACGTGACCTCACGCAACGTATTGGAGCTTTTTTGCCAGTGCCGGCAATGGGGTGGGCGCGGCTCCAGTATGATGAAACCAGCCCGCGGGCCAGCAATTTGACACCCCTGAGCTAGATATAAGAAGTTATTATAATGGCAGCTGGAAATGGATTGTGTCGAACTGTTCCACTTGACATATCCCACTTCAAAGCCCTGAGTGAGGCTTATTTCCAAATGCACATTAAAGAATCAGTGTAACACCTTCAACATTTGCTGCAGTGAATGGTGGTATGTCTTTGGGCCTTTTTTGCCTCCTGCTTTATTTTTCTTTCAAAAATAAGTTTTTGAGGATTTCAAAAAAATTGTTGTTCATCCACCTATTACTTCTCTAGACAATAGTAAAAAATGTTTAGATATAAAATAATCCTTGATGCTAACCTGCTATATACTATGAAACTCCCTGTTTACTAGCTGACTAAACCAAAAACATGAGAATAAAAAAATTGGCACACTATAATGCATGACATAGTTTTCAATGCTGTGACAAATTACATTACTTGGCTGCTTGTAGGAGTGAGAGCTCACCCAGAAGAGGGAGCTGGGGACTGAACAGACCATATAGTTGACTCAGCATTAGAATTGCTCTTCAGTTGTCTCTCTTTCCCAAACTCACACTAAAGCATTAAACTCCTATTTATGCTTACAGCTATGGAACAATTTATATTCTCTGTGCCTTCAGTGGAGGAAACAGAAGATGCAAACTGAAGTAATCCAAATGGTCATATAACATCTAACTGATTGGGAACCGCCCAGAATTGGTTAGAAGATGGGCGGTTATATAAATGTTTTAACTAACTAACTAAATAAACTCTAAGACTGGAAACCAAATGAAAACCAGGAAAACATTATCCTTCCCTGGATTACATGACAACTCTTCTACTGAAATTTGCACCAAATTTGAGGTTGGAGAGTTTGGCAAGTTTAATAAAACTAGTTAATGATATCTAGTGATATTCAGAAAGTAAATGTTTAGTGAAAATTAATATTTCAAACTATATTACCCTAATAAAAGGGGTCTACATGATGAATGAAAGTACCATGAGTTTGTGAGGAAGAATAAACATGGTGAAAATGAATGTGGTTTCAAAATTAATACATTATTCTGAAAACTGTACCTATGTTGGTTTTCCTTAAATATTTTAAGTAAATTGATAATCTATTGATAAGATGTTAATTTCTTGATTTTAAAGTGTATCATTGCACAAGGCTGTTAACTTCAATAACTTATTAGAATGAAAATGTTATTAAATATATACTATTGTGGGTTTAACTTGAGAATTACATTTGATATCGTTGAAATGCTGGCAAGTGCTTGGCTCCAATGTTAATAAGAATTCCAGAGATATTCCAGGCCTCAAGACAGTTTGACATATTTGGGCTTTATTGGAAAACAAATTAAAATTTGATATTTATCATGAGAAAATTAATTTAAATTAATTGAATAATTTAACTGAATAATTTAAAAATAGAAGTAAATAACTTTTACTTTACTTCTATTTTACTTCCATTTTATTTGTTGAAAAACAAACAAAAATAAAACATGAAGTGAAAATGAGCTGGTTACTCTTAATTAATAAATACTGAGACTATGACAATCTTTGGAAAATATTGAAATATTAAAAAGAATAAAATTTTCCCAAAATTGAATAGCTATATATCACATAACATATTTTTTTTGGACCAGATGCTATTGCAAAATCTGAAACTCTGGTACCTTTGACTATATTACAAAAGATTTTTGTAGGAACTAAATTTATAATTCAGTATTATCTATCTCCTGTCTGGATAATATGCAAGGAATTTGGAATAGTGAATTGTTATAATCTATATAACAATGGCAATGTTCTCAAATTTTAAGGAACATTAAATATATTTTGGAGGATTTAAAAATTAGGTTAATCAAATAAACAAGAACTTGTTTGAGTATATTATATTTTTAAAACAGATATTCAAAAACACTTCAATTTTTCCTATGCTGGAGTTGTAATAAATCTGAAGGGACATTAATATATATGCCTGAGTTATTTCTATTGCAATTCTTTTGTGGTTAGTTACAGTGGTGGGATTCAAATATGTGAACAACC